TTGACAATATTCTCCATAAGAATAACATGGGAATTTTAAATTTACAATTTTTTTTTATTTTCTCCGTTACTAATAATCGAACAAAAATACTTTTGTATACTAAATTATTTGTTTTTTTAAGCTCTTTAAAAAGGTCTAAAGAGAAATCGGGATATTTTGTGTTTTGAGGGTCAAAAGTGAGAAAAACCAATTTTTACCCCATAAAACCCCCCGTAAAGCCCCGTTCCCATGGTCCGATCGTGCTGGTTCGCGAACTCATTCAAGTTTATCCGCCTTTACACCTTTAAACCAAATTTCATCAAAATCGGACAAAAATTACTCAAGTTATCGCGTTCACGGACGTATATATATATATATATATATATATATATATATATATATATAAGTCTATATATATATATACATATATAAAAATTTGAACGAATGGTGTTTTTGGCCTCTGGGGACATCAAAATGAAAAAGTAAATCGGTCCCGGGTCTAGGTCTTACCGTGCCACCTACGGTAATAGCTACTTCCCTATAGGGAAATTCGCTAAAAAAATGTATACCAAACGTAAAATAATTGAATTATCCATAAAATCATGACGCCTCCAATGTAATATTTCTGGCAATATGTTTTCCTCCAGCTGTCGATATAACATAACCAAATATTATATAATAAGTCAGCAATCTGTATTGTCCTCAAATAGAATAAAACCCTAAAAGTTTTGGTGCCCAAAATAAATTCGAAACCTTGATATGCCGTTTGTGGGTTTAATGGTTTTATTAAGATTAAAGCTTAAATTTAATATCTAGCAAAATGTTGATCAAAACGAATACTTTATTTAGCTTATCTTTGTGTTAAATACCCCTGCTGAAGAAAACCTGCAGATTAATCGAATTTCCATTTACCTGATTGGTTTTTCGATTAAATCTATTTAAATAACATTAGATTAACAAGGAATTAGGTTTTCTGCTACAGGGGTGGTAATAAAGTGTGTTTTTAGCAAAATATTTACAAAAAACTTAGTATAAAATACATAATTTTGCCAAGTTTGTTATATCCATAAACAAGCAAACTAAAAAGTTAAAATTTTATTTTCCATAAGAACTATGAATTTTAAATTTTAATTTTTAATATTCTCCGTAACCAATAACCGTAAAAAGACGTTTGAATATACTAAATTATTTGTTTTTTAAGCTCTTTTAAATGGTTTAAGGAGAAATTGGGAAATTCTATGTTTTGAGGGTCCAAATGAGAAACACAATTTTACCCCATTAAACTCCCCATAAACCACGTTCCCCTGGTCCGATCACGCTGGTTCGCGAACTCATTCAAGTTTATCCCGCCCTACACCTTCAAGTCAAATTTAATCAAAATCTCACAAAAATTACTCAAGTTATTGCATTCACGGACGTGTATATACGGTATAACAATTTTAACAAGTGTTTTTGGCCTGGTGCATCGAAATTAAAAATGTATATCTATATCGGTTCCAGGCTTAGGTCTTACCGTGCCACCCACGGTAATGGTAATAGCTACCTATAGGGGAATTCGCCAAAAGGGAAGTATCGATAAATCAAACATATACAATGTCGGCTGGATACATATTTATTTTCAATGCAGTAAATCAATTCTTAGCTACCAATATCCAAATATTGAAACCATAGACTAACCACCCAGTATTCGAAGCCCACCCTGTTCCACATATCGAGAAGTAAATAATTATTACATTGCGATATATGATACCCTATTTGTTCCCAATGTGCCCCCTTCCTACTGTCGCCAGACGCTAGACTTGAATTTTTTCTCCCTACCGCCGCGCGTCGCCATTTCGGTCGACGGAAAGTCAATCAACTCCAACTGTTTTGTTTGAGGTTATGTTATGATAGTGACTTATTTGTAATCGTTGGATTACTAACTTAAAGTAATTCTCTTTCCAAGGTTTCCGTTTCATTCTTAAATGTTATCATCGTTGATCTGCACTTTGAATGTACTATTAGTTTACTGTGTTTAACTTGTTCTAAGAAATGAGTCTTTTAGTTGTTTTGTCTATTGTGTCAAACGCGTTTGGCCATTAACTCTTCTACGTTCTGGATTTTAAAATGAGTTTAATATGTGGTCATTTAAGAGTTCCCCTCGCAAAACAAATTTATTTAGAAAGAAAAATAACAGTAATGAGGTTAGTACTGCGATCCTGAGTTAACAAGACTTGTATTCTAAATAACAAATACCTAGCATAAGATCATACCAACTAACAATAGCCTAGGCCCATATTATCTCATCATTACCAGTTCTTCTAAGTTCCGTAGGAGTACCATAAGTTCAGAATGTCTCATAGGCTACAAGCATACAGGTCATTATTTCATTAATTTGTTTATTTAAGAATTAAGAGTAAAACCAACAGAGGTCTGATGTAAAACCAATCAAGTTAAATAGGTCTATTTGAAAAAATCTAACTGGCCTAGTTGTGAAACTTTTTGTTAGGCATACTTTCAAATGTTGATAAAGCTCTTCAGATAAACATTTTGATCCGTTACAGTTGTAAAAAATAAGCAAATGTGGTTATTGATTTCCTTCTAATTCTTAATCTAAGTTAGTTAATAATTCTACTCTAACATATTTCTCAATAAACTTTTAAATCTATTTTTCTCATCTCTCGCTAATACTATTCATGTTAAATAAATTATTCATATCTCATTCATTACTTAGTCTCTATTGTGTTCTCTGCTCTTTGAAATACATGAATTAGTTGAACACAGACTAAATTAATTATTATAAGTTAAGTTAGGTAGTAAGGTAACGAATATTAGTTAAAATAACTTAGACTATTATATCTACGAAAACTATGGATGTGAGAAAAGTTTAGTAGCCTACCTTAAGTAAGTTTTATGGGCCAAAATATGTAAAACAATTCCTGCGACCAGACATTTTATGTATACCGTAACCTGTGTAACTTAGAACCCCCCCCCCCCCCCCCCGTTTGTATGTAACTTAGTTTCAGTTATTTTCACTTAATCTATTAAAAGTTACTCCACTTCTTTATAAAACGACTGTTACGATGTGAGTTTTTTGTTAATAATCGATCCTATGATTAGGCCTGTTTGCGATTGGACTGTAGGGTTAGTCGATAGGATTTTATATTCATAAAAATAGGCATCATCATTGCCATTGAGTTTTATGAATAGGTTCAATGATTTTTTATCTCTGTGTAACATGAATTGGACCTACGGTTCCTTGAAAGCATAAGTTATGGTTACAAATAACTACAATACAGAGTAGGCCTACAATAGGCATTGATTGGTACAATTCAAAATACTGCTGAGCTTTGTTTTTTATGATTTTTTTTATAAATAGGACTAAGTAACGATGAAGTCAGATTCAAATTTTACCATATATCTTTTTTTAGGTATAAAGTTTTTATATGATAGGCGAGTAAATAGTTGATATCCTACTCCATTGTAGTTATTGATTGATACAATTGCCTAGGCCTATAAGTTAGAAATTTGTGTTTCGGTTAGGTTAAGTTTGTTTAAGTTATCGGTTGAATCGATTCTTTTTATGTTCGACTTACAATGGAGTCGGATATGAAATTTTTCCATGTAACTTATATGCCTACTGGTATTGCCTTTTTTATTTAGGCCTACTGTACTAAGTTAAACTTACCTGTGGTTTATTGTAGATTGCTTGACACATGCATGAAGATGGGCTAACTTATACCCTAATGGCTTTAATTCTAATGGCATTAAGAATTACATTTGTCAGATTAGAAAATTAGGCCTGACAACATAGACTTACAAATAAGCTTAGTCCTTGGCTGCATCCTTCTTTTTATGGATGTACAATATGAAGAAATCTTAAAAATATGAACTAGGTTCTACATAAGTTTACTTTATTTTTTCCCACGCCTACTTTGTTTTAATGGACTTAACACTCACGAATATATACTCTGGAAAACAAAATTTGCCGCTTGCATAATCAAACATGGTTTCATTGGACACCAGCTGATTATTATTGACAATGAGTGCTTATGAACAAAAACATAACCTCTCTTAGAAGTAATGAGTAGTGATTGTTATAAGTACGTCCGTTTGGCTATGATACCCAGCGGATTAGGAACTTTCTCAGAATTCGACTCACCCTTCAGACCCGCTTGCCAGGATGGCCGTTGTAAAAAGTTTACCTACCTACCTACTGTCACAGTCCCACAGATATGTAACTTTTTTTATTTTAAGTTAAAATATATTTTTCTTTGTATATTTGAGTTCTAAATGAAATTCCAAAAATAATGAGTCCAAACACGATGTGGATACTTCATATCTACGATCTTCAGATATGAAGTATTTAAAAAATCGATACTTCAAGTCAAACTTTCAAGTCGAACAAAGCTGGTGACGATTCAAATACTTACAGATCGTAGATAAGTTATTAAGTATCTAAATCGTGTTTGGGCTCATTATTTTTGAAATTTAATGTAGAAGTCAATTATACAAAGAAAAATTGATTTTAACTTAAAACAAAAAAAGTTACAGATCTGTGGTACTGTGACAGTGGGTAAGTCACTGACTGTCTCCGACCAGCCCGACGAGCGGGTCGAGAGGGTGAGTTGAGTTCCGAGAAGGTCCCTAATCCGCCGGGTATCATAGCAAAACGGACGGACTGTAAGTCTTTTAGTGGGTGGGACAATTTTAAAAGGATTTTTATAGGTTTTTGTTATTACTAGGCTAGTTTACAGTAGAATGGTGGAAAATGTTGTGCGTCACTAATCCAAAATGTGTTTGCCATACTCATATCGTAATCCCGCACTTGACTTTGTCTCGCGCAACCATATTTATCCGGTCAACACTTATTTCCCGGACTAGTAACGTTATATTATATTTTTATTTTGTCGACTTTGAGTACACTCATGGTTTTAACTCCTAACTAATTAAACCAGTTCTAGAGTTTTTACTAAAAAAATAATCATTTTTCTATTTGAAATTATTGTTATACATAAATTAATATTGGTCTTTTTTTTCAGATCGACTACCCGGAGATGCAAGCAGCTAGGGGGGTGGGCAACCCTCGCCTGCCCTCCACCATGGACAGAGGTGGAGTCAACTTAGTTTTTGACGACTCTGTAAGTAAACATTGCCTTGTTTTTTTATACTTTTAGGGCCACCCTTCTCAAATATATTGTAGTGTGTAGGCCTACCCCCACTGTATTTAAGTTAGGCCTACTCTCGGACCAAAAAAAAATTTTTTGGTTCAACTAGGTTTAGGTTACACCTCCGGTTGAGGCCGTTTAATTTATGGTTCCTTCTACAGTTTAAATCAGGGGAAGGAAGAATAATGGTTTGATTTTTTTCAACGCCTTACTTGTTCCACTATTGTTTATCTAAACTGACTCAATCTAAAATAAATAGGGGTGTGCGATGCATCGAAAATGCATCGAAATTTCGATTCGATTCGATTCGATGCATCGAATCGCGATTCGATTCAGCATGCATCGAAATCACGATGCATCGATTTGGCCTCGATGCATCGAAAAAGGCCGATGCATCGGTTAGCTCCCGATGCAACGATTACGTCCCGATGCATATTTAAAACTAATTCAGGACTCCAAAATGAGTTTTAGATAGGGAAGTGTCAATTATCGCTACCACCGATGCTCGGACATTGCCGATACTACGAATATCGGTATCAAGAATCGATTGCCAAACATCGATTTCGCCCGATTCCGCAGATACCGACAGCCGACAGGGATGGATAGATATTTTATTTTAACATTTATTTATTTGATATCTATTAGTTTTGTAATCACGCTACCAACTTTAGTAACCAACTTAGCACACTATTTAGTTAAAAACAGCTAAAGTTTATTTTCAGCCGTTCTCTCTGCAGGCAGATGATATTGCACAACACAATACAATCTACATTTAAGATGTCAGACAGTCAGAATTCAGTCTCAGACAACCGGCGCGCGAGTGTCCTCAACACGAAATTATACTAAAAAATGTCTGTATCAATAAGTCAGATCTTTAAATGTATTATTTTTATTTTTAGAACAAAATATATAACCTAAACTTGTCTAAATAAATGTTCAGTTTCATCCCTGCATTACGTATCATTAGAAAAATTCGATTCAATTACAACATCGAAGTCAGAGGGTTAGGCTTGCACTTGCCTATTGCACCAAAAAGTAGATCCATATTATATCTATACTATCTACCTAGTTTAAGAGTTTAAATGAAGTTTTAAGTGCTACTATAACATAAGTTTTGATTGAAAAACACCATACGCATAGTCCATGTCGATTTTGTAATATTATAATGAATGGTAAATGTTGACCATCTAAGATAAATCAAAGTATGTAACAAGAGTTCTCATTGGTCGAGAGGCCACGCTGCACTGTCATGTCAGCCAATCGACGTTCGTGTTTCAATGGAGCAAGTGACGATTGCTAAGATACATTGATAAATATCAAGAACCGTTATGTAGGACGTGTTTGTTTGTAAAGAGTATAAAATTAGGTTAAAGTTTAAAACGGTGTGATTTTCTTTTGTCTTACAAAGACCTAGATTTGACAATAAGGTTATAAACGACTATTGTCGCGTCGTTGTTCCTTGTTTGTTTACTTTTTCAGATTCCCTATCAAACGCCCCTATCTGCTATCTCTCTCTCCCCCCCTCTCTCTCTAACGATGTACTGATTAAACAGATTGTGGTTGACGACTTTTCTACTTAAGATTCCCTGTGGTTATTTTAGTTCAATCAATCCCATAACCTTTCTATCGTTTATCAAAATAATTAATTAATCTGTTTGGTATTTTATTTCCTTTAAACCAACCCCTATTTACCATCTGTATTTTATAGAATAAAATGTTTGTTTATAAAGTTTGACTGGCCACACAATTTTGTACCTATTTTATTTTGTATAAAGTAACAGATACTTTGATGATTATATATACAGTTACAGTATATATATATATCAATAAGTGCTGCGTGCTGTAATGAATGCTTTTTATTATCAAAATAAGTAATCAATTATAATTATAAATAAATTTTTGATAATACATGTGTCATTGAATAGGTACCATAATGTCATGTAGTTTCCTATTTGTAACTTGCAAATAATAATAATTGATAGTTAATTCTGGAAAATGAAAAATAGTGAACGCATTCATAAACCTTTTGTCAAAACAGCAACGCAGGTGTAAGGGTTTATTGTTTCAGAGGCTAGGGTGTTTCAAGGACAAAGTGTTGGGCCTTCCGGCTTAGGGGGGAGGGGTGGTGGTTAGAGGGGGAGGAAACTGGTTTTGGCTATTTATTGATTAGTTCACCGACCCTTCTAGACAACAAAATTGAGTGACAGTGACAGTGTTAAATCACCGTGTTCTGTATTTTACTTTGTTTGTTATTCTATTAATTTTAGTGTTTTGTTCTATTTCCTCCTGGTCCCTTGCAAATTGTATTATCAATGCTAAATAATTGTGGTCAATTCAAATTATATTTTTGATTATTGAAATCTCCTACACAAAAAGACAAAAGTCAAACCAGGCAAGGAAAAAACCTGCTATTGTAATCCCCGTACCCAGCCATTTGGGAAGTGGTGAGTCTAGTCTAAATATAGCTCAAAGGTCTCACCCTTCCCTTCCCCTACTCAATGTTACTATTCCGTTCATTTCGAGGTCATTGCACAACGCCTGCCTCCCGTCTATTGTTTTGCCTTTATAGTGTTTCTATTCTGACTTTTATAAACATTAATTTATTGCTTACGTAGTTCAGTAGTGAAATTTTCTATTGTGAAACAGTAGGCCTACTTTAAAACAAAATCACTACCGGTCATGTCATTCTATTCTGTGTCAAGTCAGTATACCATTGCCATTGCCAGTCAGTGAGTCAGTCGCCGGCTAGGAGGATTAAACATTAAGGAGAGGGCACGCGAATAGGAATACACGTGTTGCGGTGAAGCCAGCTTTAGCAGAACACTAGAGGGGCACGCGGAGCCGTAGAGTGGCAAAAAGCCTCGGCTATAACATGGGAGAGATAGGGAAAAACGCGACGCGCGCTGTTTCGAATTAAAATTTCCACTAAACTAAAACACCTGTGTTATTCACCGATGGCATTCTTAAAGTAAATTAAATTTCCTATCGAACGGAGTCAATCATTCCTATAAAAAATATTATTTATTATTTATTATTGAAGATCAAAGTTGAATGAATTGACCTGAACTTTAAACATATGATTACTTTAATTACGTTTTTGAAAAAAATATGATGTATCTACACAAATTAACAATTTATTCGTGTTCCTTAAGAGTTTCTGGAAATAAAAAATATATATTTACCTATATTTAAAAGTGGTATTTAGAAAAATAATTACAATAAAGTTTTTTTTATCTTTCCAGTTTATAAAACAATCTTACTAATAATAGGTTAAAATGAAAATTTTAATTCGGGTGATGAAATACATTTTAAATTTAAATTTTTCATAGTTTTCTCGATTTGTTAATATAATTTTTTACTAGTTTTAAGTCATTTATGTGCTAGGCAGGTGATTTTAAATAGCCAAAGTTAAGAAAAAATGTAAAGCCGCTCTAACTTTTTTTACACCAACAGCCGTTACAATTCATAAAAAGTAAAACAATTTTTTGGCAATCAAATTCTTGATTTTTTAAATATCATATTGAATTATATTTGATCTGTTTATCTAAAGAAACTTCGAGTAAAAAGTGTAAATGTTCAACAATCATCGCGTCTTCTGACCGTTAAAGTGCGTTTATCATTCTTTTAAAGGATAAAAACTTATTTTATTTCTCAATAAGAAAATGTTCAAATACACATACAGTACTACTCATGATTTGAGTTTTAATTTATGAACGGTAAAATCCATTGGTGATATGGCGGAATTTGAACCCGGGACCCCAGGAACCGGAGTCCCGCGCTCTGGTTAGAGTATTTTAAATAAAACACTATACAAGTATGACAAAAAATAAAAACAAGGACAACGAATTTAAAAAAAATAAGTCATCCTTGTGTAAATTACTCACCTTTGAACGTACTAATTGGTTCATAAATATGACTTTCCTCTTAATAGGTTCCTAATATTACGGTTAAAATTTAACTTTTTGAAGCATGATGAAGTCTAATTTTTAAATAGTTAATTGATATTTCTGTTACCAAATCTTCCAGTAACGCATACAACGCAGTATGAGAGGGGGGCGGGAGAGTAGCGCTGCCTCCCCCCTCCCCAGTACGCTGGCTTCAACGAAACTACAGCGTGTCCTCTCCTTAATGTTTAATCCTCCTAGGTCGCCGGCGACTGCTTTGAGTTGACCTATTCTGTCGTAACAGCTATAAAAATAGGTTAGGACAACTACCTCTTGCTTATTTCTATATTGTAGGGCCTACTTTACTCAAACTCAAAATCTCGAATACTCGCCCATTCTGTGTTAATAGTATAAATAAAATTGGATCCATTAAAACCGGATCCAGCCCAAGATCCGATTTTTTGTGGATACGATCAGGCGTCGGTTCTAGATCAGATCCGGCGGATCCGGTAGTCCGATATCCGGATCCGACCATCACTAAAATAGACAGTAAACACTGATAATCAACTTTTTTGGTTCGTGCTGATTTAAGAATGAACCAGAAGTATTGAAAGCCAACAAATATAAATGTGAAAACTAAGTAAATCATGCCGTGCTGCATCGAATCGAATCGAATCGATTCGAATCGAAATTCTTTGAATCGCATCGATGCATCGAATCGAAAAAAATATGCTGCATCGCACACCCCTAAAAATAAATATAAGAATTGAACTTCAAAGACATAGGTAATGAACAAGAAGCTTGATTGGTTCATAATTATTGCAAATAAGAATCTTTATTTGGTATTTAAAGTTTTGTTTAAAGTTTGTTCAGCCTAAACCTCAGTTATTTTTTAGTAGGTATTGTCATAAAGCTATCGTCCGGCTACCTACTATGTCAAATTTGAGAATATATTGCAAAATCTTTTTTAGAATAGTAGTACCAACAGAGTTGCTTGTTTTAAAGATAACTTAAACCAGGGTCAACTAAACTTCCATCACCAAATATTTGAAAAAAGTCATCTGTGGAATAAACAATCGTTTAAAGTAGCCTAAACTTAGTATTTTTTTTTTAAATTATTGGGCAAAGCGGCTCTTAAACAGCCACTTAGGCAATGTAGTTTTCAAAAGTTTTCACAAATTTGTCGGTTGCTCAGCCATTAGGGCCTAATTTGATGACTGTGGAGCAAAAAATTGTTTTGGTGCTATGGGTTTACATCCCTGAATTAGGCCTACTGCCACGAATAATTTATTAGTTGAGTACACTCTCCTGGTATTTTAGTTCCCTACAAGTAGTATCAGAGGGTTTTGTAATGAGTAGTCTGATCGATTCAGGAGTCTCACATCACATGATGGCCTCCTGTGTGCGTAAAAGCGTCATCCCCCCCTCAAAGTGATTTTCATATTCACTTACATGATTTATCCTTCATAATCATAATCATAATCAATCGTTGAGATGGGGACGCCACCTAGGTGCGTATTTTAACCCAATTGTGAGTGAAGTATGAGTGTAGAATGGTGTGTGATGACCTGTGTAGCTTTGTTACTGACTAAGATCAGCGGTTTCATTAGTCAGGATCATTTATTTAAAGCCCAATGATCAGGAACAGCTGGGCCCAGTTTCGAACCATCAAAAAGCTACTGACTTTTCTCAGGATCGAACCGGCGACCTTTTGATTACTAGGCGAGCACTATAACCACTCAGCTACCCAGCCAGTTATATAATCATAATCAGTTACATAATCAGCAAGCACAGAATATAAAATAGAGAAGCATCAGGCATGAGAGGTGAAGCCACCCAAAAATCGGTGGTGCCCACATAAGTGGTGTGGGGAGCAATGAGCCGTCCTAGTTCCACACATCTCAGCCGTTGCCACCATGCAAAATCGCATAGACAGGCTAGAGTCAAAAACGGTCTAACACAATATTTTTAGAATATTACAAAGTGTTTTGAACCTCTCATGTATTTTCAACCTCAATGTATTTTTTAACCCTCAAAATCTTTAAATGTAGGCCTAAACAAAAATCTTGTAATAACATCAAATATACTGTTCTTGATAGGTTTTCTTAATAATCATAATAAAACTGTTTGTGTAGGTGTTTATTTTATAGGCCTAATGATATCTGGGACTGTGCTATACTAGGAGGAATTAGTTACATTTTAAAACATATGAAACGAAGCTCATATTGCTACAGAACTATAATGATAAATGATGACTTTCTGGTTTTGGTTTTATCGAGGTAGACAAATCTCGTCAGTTACAAACTAACCTAACCAGACACACTGTTTGTTACCAATTGTATTTGTCCACAAAAAAAACCTCTTTTGTGATAATTGATGACTAAAAGGGTTTTTATTACCTGTCACGCAGTTCCAAAAGTAACAATTGTTGTAGATGTTTCGGCGAGTTGCTATCGTCAGACACGTCGGTTTAGTGAAAACATTGAATCCGCTTAATTAGCTTTGTTGATTTTTGAAATACGGACACACATCCAACACATGACACATACAGATAGGGCCTACGACATAGAAATAAATAGTTTTTCTAAAGAGAGGCCTATCCTGGAAACACATCATTGCTGTAATTTTGTGAAATAATTAAATAAACCGGCAATGTTGTTTTTGATAGGCCTATCTTTACATAAATTACAAAAAAAGGTTTATTTCTATGTTGTATCTGTATGTGCCGTGTGTCGAATGTGTGCCTCGAATTTAAAAACCAACAAAGCTAATCAAGCAGATTCAATATATAGGTAATACACTGGACTGAAATGCGTCTGACGATGGCATCTCGCCAAAACATGTAACCTAACACGGTTCTTGCTTTTGGAACTCCATGACAGATAATGAAACCAATTTAGTCATTTTTTGCAGTTTCGGGGCTATCAAAATGAATTATTTTAAATGAGATTTTTTTGTTTGTGTGATGGGCAACAAGTTATAAAACAAACTTAACTTATCCAACCAGTTGGCTACTGCTTTACTGTAGAGATTTGTAATAGTTAAGAGATTATTACTTTAGACAAAATATAGTCATCATGCAGCACTTCCATGGCATAGTATTTTGTATTTATTTAAAACTTCAACCAACATGTAGAATAATTGATCAATAAAAAATATAACTGGAGAATGGAATGCAATGAAGTGAAAAGTCAATTTGTGCAGGAGATTAACAATCATATGGTAGAAGGAGGGACGCTGATGCAATCATTCCTTGATTACTCCATCACGGGATTTTAATTTTCTTCAACGTATCATGGAATCGATTAATTTAATTGTTTACAAACAATATTTGGCTATTCCAAAAAAAAACTAATCAAACAAAAAAGTCCCTTTTAAATATTTTTGAATTTTTAAATAACTTGATTTGTTTAATATGTTCACAAATAGAAATTTCTTTTATGTAGGGCTAGTTTGATAAGACATTATATCAACATAAACTCATTTCTCCATCAATAAAATTTTATGAATTGAATTATACTGATTAATAGTACATTTCATTACGAGGCCCTAAATCGAATCTTTTGACACAAATTAAAGATAAGCAACTAAGGCGAATTCGGGATCAGAAAGTGAGCTAGGGCAGTGAAATAAAATTTGTCTTATCATACTGCACCGTTCTGTATCCTAACTATACCAGAAGGCCATCCATATAATGTATACCAAATGTATGGGAAAAAGTTATTCTGCTTGAGAATGAGAAAAATGTGAACTGTTGTTCAATGATAATACTTTTCATATATATTTCTTACTATTTTATCAGACAGTAGCTGACCAATCAAGGATAAAAAATGTTATTGATATTGTTTGGAATAAGGTAGATAGTTGGGCAGAATAATATAGAAGTCGGAGAGGAAAGGGTAAAAATTACCCTTGGGAATCCTTCATTGCTCTGAAAGCTTTTGACTCCCGATGTGTACTGTAAAACATTTTATTTGGACTCTTTCCTGATACACAAAAAATATACTCTCTGTTATACAGGGTGTTTTAACCTAATGTTGCAAAACTAAACAAGTGGGTTGTTTATTTGCTGGCTGTAGTTTGATCAAGTCTTGACTCACAAAACAGCTGTTACTTGCAGTAGCTATTTAAAACACAAGTCTATTACAGTTAATCAAGTAGCCGATACAAAACATTATATAAAAACTAATTTCTAAAATGCTCCTTCCATTGTTAGCATTAACCAAAAGTTTTAATCAAGGCAATCAGAAAATCTACAAGTTTAAATTTGATCTAGACCTATTAGTTTCTTAACACCCTGTATTACCAGGAAGTTAGATAAGGAGGTGCATTAGTGAAAATATATCAAAATTGATGTTCAGGAACAGTTAGGAGCCACTACCTTCTGTCTTTCTGTTACTTGTAAGAATTTCATAAAGCATGGGGTATTGTTGAATATGAGGTTTCAAAAAATAAAAAAAAGTACTGGTGCATTTTATCATTTACTGAGAAAACCTTAAGGTAGTTGACTAGTTTAGTTGTCAAATCCAAACCAAGTTTTTGATGGTTTACATTGTTACAGTTTGCCCGGCCGGAGCTGTACCAGAAGTCTAACCGCAGCAGTCACTCCTCCGACACCAGTTCTGCGTACAGTGGCTCGGACACCATGACGTCGGTGCACAGCTCTGTAGACGCAGACGACGTGGACCTCAGCGGCCTCGTGGAGAGTGTGGTGGACTCTGACGAGGAGGACCTGGCGGAGAGTACAGACGTAAGTGGGACATTTTGTGTGAACTGATAAATTTATGTAGTGATAAGTATCCGTTTTCTGTCAAAACGTTTTGTTGTAGTGTTATTACAGCTATTTTGTGCTATCGAAAATACAGTAGAGAGGCAAAAATCCTAACCAATAGGGACCTTAGGTAGTTCAGATTACCGATTTGTTAGGATTCTCAAATATAGCCTAGAAATACCTAATAGACACATAATTAGGCATACAGTATTAAAAATACAGTTCTAGAAAACAGTGAATGAAATAAAAACAATGATTTTTGTACTTAGTAATTTTTGTTACATCACTGTAATTTGTTTATTGAAAAAAAACATGTAGAGTTTATACATTGGAAACGAACAAAACACCAACTGGCTTGGTGCGTTCTCTCATTTCTCTGCTGGGTGCCGACTGTTTGGCCCACGAAATTGTTAAACATATGTTGTCTCTGTGCTAATTCAATATTTTAAAACCCTCAGGAGCAGTTTGGATTTTTGACGTTCGAATTTTCAACTCTCTACCGTAGAGCACTTCTTCATGTTAGAATGCCTAGCTGCTAATAAGTTACCTTCTATTCTGTTGTTTGTTAGCCATTGTTGTTCTTCCACATTGTTTATCACTAATATACGCATGGCGTGTTGACGGAGGTTGTGAGCGCGGAAGGTTTACTTCCATCACAACAGACACAGTTTGACTGACAATGTCTTGAAACTTTGTAATACTATTAGCTAATATTGGTCCTGCATGGTGGAGTTTGTCAGGAAATTTTAAATATATAATAAACCTCATGAATGGTTACCATAAAATAATTAAATAGTGATTTAAATTTTTTTTTAACTGCACCAAGAAGTGTCAGTACTTGCAGTTCGTTCAAAAAGCAGCCTAACTTTAAAATCTTAAATAAACAGCCTGCCTTTTTTAAAACAAATGGCAAAATATGTAACTAATTTTTAAGTACAGAACACATTTTGTGCGTCCTTTCCCTGTTGCAAAGGATAGATATAGCAACTAGTCATGAATTAAAAACAAAGAAGACAATATACCAGATTTTGACGGGTATTTCATGAACTCATCAATTCATTTAAAAAATGATTGAAAATCATCACAACTATTTTTATCTTCTGTAATTTAATGTTGATCAGCCCATGTCTCTAAACATGTTTACATGGGAACACAACGTTGGAAATTGTGTTTAATTAACAAACTATTGTCAGATCCGTGTAATTCTAACTAATGTTTGCGTGGACGTTTAATTTGTCTGCAACACGTGCCTCATCCAATCGACTTCCAATCAGTTTGTTTCCATAGCTCATCAATTCACGCCCATCAATGTTCGGAAGTGTGATTTAGTTTAGATTTGCATATGTGGGTTGGAGTTGTCGATTGTTATTGGTAGAAATAGATGTCGTAGGCTAAATATAATTGAGAAAGTTTGCCACTATACAAGCGTAATAAAGCACCGTATTGGCCTACCTCCTTTTATTTATAGTAAAGTTTCATGTTTAGTGGATAATGGTTATAAATTTATAGTAGTTATATGATCTCCATATCAATAGATGTTGTGAGTCTGATCAAATTTATTTGATGTTTTCACAGTATTTTAATAAAGCGTCTGTTCAACATGTGTCAGCTCATAACATTTATTCAACATATGTGGTCCAAACATGTTGATATTTGGACTGACAGGAGCCACAACAACAGATGTTACAAAACAGACTCTTTGGATCCTAAAATTTATCATATTTATGCAAAACCCGCATCAGTGTGTTGTCAGTTATTCAATTCATTTACTAAATCATCAGAAACAACATTATCCTAATTTAATTGTAATTTTTTGCATACATTTTTGGATAATGTAAAGTTGTTGTTTTCTTCATTTAACTATAATCACATTTAAAGAGGCTACTTTGATTTTTTGGGTTCAATTTTTTCTTCCAAAACTAAAATCTCAATTTAAACATTAGTAAATGTCTATATTTTCCTTCTATACTATTAAAAACCGAAGATAAAATTACGTTAAAGTTTTTGTAAATCAAATTAATCTTTAGGAAACATTATAAATAATTTTAATTTTATTTATATGTGTATAAAATTACGTACCTAACAAAAAAGTTAAATTTCACAACTTTTCCACACCAAAAAATCTTTTGTATAAATATTCGTATTAAAACATAAATCAATTGAAAGTTTAACTTAATCAAGTTGCGAAACAATTTGTAGTCAGAGTTGAATTCAATACAGAGTCATTGAAGTGAACCGTCATACTTTGACCTTTTCATTGAGTGGAGTGTTCCAGCAATTCTCTAACTAATTACATACAACAGTGCATTGATTGCCCGGGTTTGTCTCAAATTTGCACATCTTCATTACAGTTGGTTGTTTGTGGTTTATAGTGGAGTATTATTTTCTTCGGAATTGTGCAGATTAATACATTTGTGATACTTTGGATATGATTTGAAATTGCAACTAACCTTGTGTTGAGATTCTCGTTTGTTATTTATTCACTGTCTAGAATTTTTTTGTTGTGTACAAATTGTATTTGGATTTTAACAAGTAAATTTTATTTTAAAATTTCAGACGGCAAAAGTTTCTTTAGACAATAGTTATAAATATATGTGAAAGAAAATTTACCAAGGAATAAATTTAAATTGGTCTAAAAATTTTTTTTTTATACTAAAATTTAACAACAAAATTATTCTTTAAAAAACAATATGACAGTAGGCTACAGTAATAGTTTTTAAATTGTCAGAAGTTTAGGTTATGAACTAATTTTAATTTTAACATTCAAAGATTTTTCTTATAAAATGTGTTTGGGCAAGTTATACAATCATATTTATTAGGTTATTTAATTGAAGTTTCCAATAAAAAGGAGTTTAGGAAGTTCAGTAAAGACGGTAGGATATTCAATTTGCACGTTACCTATCTTTACTAAATATTAAACATACAGCCTTTATACAAATACTGTGGATTACAAACAACTCTCTTTAAAAATTTTAACATTATTGGGGAAGCGAGCTGGTCTAGTGGAGCTGGTTGCTGGACTCCGGTTCCTGGGGTCCTGGGTTCAAACCCCGCCAAATCACAATGGATTTTATCTAAGTGATATTGCCGTAACCCCTAGGTCTAACCTGAAGTAATGTGAAAAACAATTCCAGGCTCGTGCCTAGCAAAAAAAAAAATCGAAAATTCTGGTTTATTAATTTTAATAGGCTAATCAAATCAGTTCTCTCCTCGTTTTTGGCTGTTGCAGTGAAGGGTAATAGAATAAAATTGATCGATTGTACTGCCAAATGCATTTGAAAGGCAAATTGAGTAAGAAAACCCTTATCCCAAAGCTGGGTAATTGAATGTGCCAAAGTAGCAGGGGCTTATCCCATTCTTTTATTATAGAAGCTAATCTGTAATCAACTAAAAAACAACAATTTTTTACAAGTAATGTTTGTTCTGACGATTCGTTGTTTGTTTCAGAGCCTGACTCTACAACGGGACTCTCTGCGGGAATGTCTAGAGAAGGACCCGTCAGAGAGGTCTGAGGATGACATAGAGATACTGCTGGAGCTGACGCAACATCTCAAAGCCTTCACCAACATGACACTGGCTGTGCGCCGCGCGCTCTGTAGTGTCATGGTGCGTAGATACCTGATTGTCTGTTAATAACTGATTACTGAAGATTCACTGATTTCACTCTGGGGTGAAAAAGTCATATGAGTTTCAGATTTTACTATAGAGTCACAAAAGTCGCTGATTACAAAAGTAATCATCTTTTTAGTCTGGTATCACAAATATAGGATTTAACGAGAAAAGTTTAAAAATCCTTTACTTATCTTATTAACTTGTGCACCTGTCAAGTGTGCTCTGCTGTGAAAAACCTAATTGATATAATACATATTAAAAATTTGTAAAACTCCAAATGTGCTGTCTCAGTGAATAGTGGCGCTGATATCTGTTGAATTTATTTTTTAACTTATTTGTTCACATAGTAGAAATTCTTAAAACTAGTTTGATTTATCAAACTCGAATTCACACAAAGTGTGGCTAAAACTAATTTATTGCTATCTGCTACCTATATAACATTTATTTAGCTGATATATCAATATTCCCATTTATAAACATCAGTTGTATTCTACAGGTGTTTGCTGTGGTGGAAAAGGCCGGAACGGTGGTGATGAACGACGGAGAAGAGCTGGACTCTTGGAGCGTTCTCATCAATGGTCATGTGGAGGTGGAACACGCAAACGGACACATAGAACACCTCCAGATGGGCGACAGGTAAGGATTCAACTTAGTCATCTTTATTAGAATGCGAGTCAGTGGCTCAGTCGGTAGTGTGACGGACTTCAGATTCTTGGCAGTGATGTTGAGGGTTTGAATCGTGGTACCTACTGCTACATTTGATCAATACAGTTCATCTCACATATTGTTCCGTCTCATCCCTTGCTTTGCTGGGTACGTTCCACACACACACACAGGCAAAAGTCATATGTGGACAGGAAATGCATGGTTAAAAGATACCGCCAACATCTTAAAAAAACAATAAAGGTTAACATAACTATTGTTTAACCTACGTTTCTTTTTCAGGGAGAGCACTTTTTGACTGATTTGTCGGGAATGGCCTAAAAGATCAAAAGTTCGACAAAACCTCTATCTTTTCTATTTGCTCCGATCGCTTCTCGTTTTACAACATACTCGTGTTTTCCAGTTTCGGCATATTGCCCACCATGGAGCGGCTGTACCACCGAGGAGTCATGCGCACAAAGTGTGACGACTGTCAGTTTGTCTGCATCACTCAACAAGACTACTATAAGATACAACACCAGGGTGAGGAGAACACCAGGAGACACGAGGAGAATGGAGCTCTGGTCATGGTGACGGAACAGAGGGGAGCATTGGAGGGCGGCCGCCGTGGTCCCGTCGTCATTAGGGTTAGTACATAACAATATATAAAAAAATATTTAAATATAGATAGGCCTACAGTAAAAGGTTAGTTAACCTAACCCTCTTAACGGAACATGATAAACTGAAACCCAAGTTAACTTAAACCATAATAGCAAATGGAAATAAGAAAATTAGCTAGGCAAAAGAAATTGACCACCGTAGTACCCCCAACTTTGCCAACAAAATATAATGGTAGACGACAACGTGGATCTCAGACCATGATAGAGATAAAGTTCAGAAAACAAGGTCTATTGTTTCAAAAGAATAGATTCTGTCAAACTGTCATACAGTTGTAGATTTCAGGTTGGAAGTAATAAAAATATCATAAAACGCTTATGTAGATCTCTTTCAACCAAAAAAGCCTTTCAATTTCAGCTTTTGGCAAGCTGAAAACATGGGTTGTCCATAACAGCATCGTCCTCTTAATTTCAATTAATCCACAGGGGTTCACCTTGTAAAAGATCAACGTTTTGATCTAAATCCAGTCCTTCCAGATTATCGGATCCGCCATACCTCTAGCATGGAATTATAGTAGTGGCAAACAAATTTTTATTTACTCATGTTTAGATCTTTCTTAAAATTTTGTTTAATATTATGATTTTTACCTAAATAAATTTTTTATTGTAATCTTTACAGAACCTGTTGGTGCAATAATATGTTTTGATTGCAGGCAACTCCAGAGAAGCTGATGTTGCAATTAGTGGAGGAGAATTCTGTGATAGACCCAACATACGTAGAGGACTTCTTGCTGACTCACAGGACGTTCATAGACAGTTCAGAACTAGTCACTGATCAACTACTGCAGTGGTGAGTACTCAAGTATCTTGGAAGACTTATACTGTGAACGCTGCTTATTGTCATAATCATAATACAAATGTGAAATTAGGTTGCAGCCGGATGATAGCCATGATATATGGTCAAAGAAGCAGCAAATGCAGGGGACTCTAATTGCCTGAATTATGTAGCTGACTGTTGGGCTAGTGATGCAGCAAAGTAAAAATCAGTTTTGCCGGATGATAGCAATGATATATGGTCAAGGAAGCAGCAGATGCAGGGGGACTCTAATCACCTGAATTATGTAGCTGACTGTTGGGCCAGTGATGCAGCAAAGTAAAAATCAGTTTTGTCAACTATCATATGACGTCACTAATCATTATACCCACAGACTAATTAACGCACATGTGCGACAGACATCCCTATAGACCACTGCAGAGAATTCAGGCCCTTTAAATAGACCGTTACGAAGATATAAGCTTTTTAATAACATTGGACACTGACGAAAATATGCTACGACAGTTTATTTTAATGCGACCAGCTGTCGCATATATGCGATGGCAGTCTATGGGTGGAAATTGGCCGTCGCATATGTGCGTCGCTGGTCCATATGAATGAACAATTTAGTACTATTGCGGTAGCGAACGTGTTATCCAGGGATCTGAGAGATCTAATGTCATGTTCGGTTGACAGGTTCACGGAGCAGAGTTGCAGAGACAGGGTGACCAGAGTGGTGCTGTTGTGGGTCAACAACCACTTCACGGACTTTGAGACGGACCCGCAGATGATGGAGTTCCTAGAACTGTTTGAGGCTGGGCTGGAGCGTGAGGCCATGACAGGGCAGTTGCGACTGCTCAACATTGCATGTGCCGCCAAGGCTCGTGCGAGATGTGTCACGCTGGCGAGGCCCAGCCGCGACGAGGTGCTGCACTTCTCCATACTCGGTGGCTACGAGCGGGGCTTCGGCATCTTCATTTCTAAGGTAGGTCTTCTGTGGTTTATAAATAGTTAAACGCAGAATAAGGATATTTTATATGAATTAATTATCCTTTAGTTTGAACTAAAACAGTTATGTACCACATATGTAGGCCTATATTGCCTATTTAGGTATGTACTTAAAAAATTCTGAACTGAGGTCAATCAAATTCCTAAGACAGTCACAATTCTATTTGGTGTCTAGTATGTTCAGTCTTATCTCAATTTAAATATTTCTCAAGCATATCCAAAAATCTTTTTGGTATAGGTCCATATATTACTTTTTTTATGTTGTCCTGAACAAAAATCTAATACAGTAAACTTTTGATAGTTCGACACTCCTTGTAGTTCGACACGAGCTGAGGTATTTCGTCAAGTGATATTCAACTTAGTAACTTGGTTACTATTGTGATGTAAGCTGACTTGAACATTAATTTGTCATTTATTGTTGACTTGAGACTTATTTAATGAACAGTGAAATTTTTAAGCTTTTTAGTATTTAATAAATTTGGGTGATTTCTATAGACTTGCGTTTTTACTTTCCTGTATATTAAACTCCATTTTGCCCTATAGTTCGACATTTTTATAGTCCGACACCCCTTAAGTCCACAAAGTGTCGTGAACTATCGAGGTTCTACTGTAAAGTAATTTTGTTTGTTAATATTTTCATTTTTAACCCTTTAATTCTTCTCCTTTGTATATTCAATGCAAAAATAAGTGTTTTTTTTATGCAAATTTATATTTTCATCGTTATGATGCATAAAATACATATATAACTTCATTAAATGGTCATAAACTTTTCTACTATTGTGTAGGTGGACAAGAGATCAAAAGCCGAGGACGTTGGACTCAAGCGAGGTGACCAGATACTGGAAGTGAACGGCCAAAGTTTTGAACATGTGAGTCACGCGAAGGCTCTAGAGATCCTGCGAGGCACAACACACCTTAGCATCACTGTCAAGTCTAACTTGCTGGGTGAGTTGTTATTTAGTAGAGAAACACACATTATCTTTTGACTGCGAACGATGAAGATAGGTCTTCTGAATTGTTTCATTCAATGCTAGGATGTTCTGATAAAAATACCTAAACAATCCAGTGTAGGCCTACATGAACCAACAGGAAATTCATAACAATTTTTGTATGGAAGAATGTTTTGTCCTGATCATGTTTCTTTTTAATTTTTACGATGGAGAGGAGATTGATGAGAAAGTAGAAGACTAGGTAGTTCTAGGACTCTGATATAAATTTGAAAACACAAGATTACCTACAACCTAGATCTTAGGTTTCTGATCAGTATTTTAGACCTGTAAACTGAATTATATTGTTATGTTATTGGATTCTACTTTATTGACTCTATTTTTCTAAAATGTGTTCTCATCAGAGGCTTGGATAAGCTGAGTAAAGTCTTTCTATCCCCAAATTTGGAACATTTTATCATCTCTTGCTAGTAGTAAAGTTATGGAGAGCTAGCGCCTAAGGCTTCAGTCCCTAAAGTGCTGGGGTCAATCTCCACTGGCTTTGGCTTTGTGAAAATACCGCAAACCTTTAAGCCTAGCTTGAAGTATATTTAAAACGGTTCTGGGCTAGAGCCTTAGCATCCTAAGGTGTGAATGTGGGACACAAAACGTAATAAATCTTATAAAAGAATTCCAACTTTGAATAAATAACCATACAGAGTTCTAATTTATCGTTTTCTTTACAAACAGCCTTTAAGGAAATGCTGCAGACGCCGGACACTTCCCCTCGTGCTAGAGTACGCAAGACTAAAGAGATCGCCAGGATACAGAACGACCCCCGAGCAAGACTTGACGTGCCGCCTCCCCCGCCACCTCCTCCGCCCATCCCCTCCTCACCCTCCAAGCTGACGACGCCACAGTCTGTCCCCACCCCTACCAAGGTGGGCAGCTTCATGACCCTCGGGCCCAAGAAACGGATGCAGAAGGCACTCATGAAAATGAACATCCTTCCCAAGAACACCATTAAGTGAGTGGAAAAAATTATTTATTGCTTTTAAACCGGTAAATATAAAGATTGAATTGAATTTAATTAAATGGGTGTTTTTTTTTAGGTATGCAAATGTACAGCTTTGTGCAACTACTATACTAACTTAAATATTATTGATATTGTAAAAATCAAGCTCTAGAGCTCTAGTTATTTATGTTAATTATTTTTAAGAATGTGGGTCAGGATGATATTATTCGTCCCCTTAGACAATGATTTTTTTAGAGTTTGCTTTCAAAAAATCAGCTATACTTACCAACATTCTCTAAAACAGTTAAAATGTGAATATAAATGTGATCAACTGATCTTTCAGTTAAATAGATTGTACAGTCGTGTAGATTGTAACAAGAGACAAAACAGTTTTTGAAAATTAATTTTAAATAGGCTAATTTTTGATAAATGTAGCCCGATTGAGATAGGCAAGTCACTCCCCATGTTGTAGATATTAAAACAATAAATTTAATTTATTGCAAAATGGTAGTTTTATTCACTGATAAACTATATCAAACAAATTTTTGTGTAGTTATTAACCACAGTCAGGGTGTTAATCTATTGTTTTTTTTTCTAGGGATGGTACGGTTAGTGACGACGTGACCATCACACACCACCACAACACTACGTTGTACCACAGCAACCCAGACCTGATGAGTATCTGTTATGACGACCTACGAGTGTCAGACTACCCCGAACATGTGCTCAAGGTGTACAAGTCAGACCAGACCTGCAAGTACCTCCTCGTACACAAGGTAAACCACTATGGAGGATAGTTCATCTCATTAGCTTCACAATACCCATCTAGTATTGGCCCTAATAACCCACTCCAGCCAACCTGGAAACCGGTAATTGTGAATTTTGATGGCCGGTAAAAAGTCTGTAAATTATATATACATTTTGTACAAGACCAGGAAGTTATTTTGAATAATCTATCCATCCATCTAGCTAGCTATATATTATTATAAAGAAGAGGTGGTGTCTGTGTGTTTGTGTGTTTTTGTATGAGATAAACTCAAAAACGACTGATTTGTACTTTACCTCAAGTTTTCCTCAAGAACAAACATTGTCTCTTTTGCATACTCACCCCGTTGCAAGGCACGGGTATAGCTGCTAGTCTCCAATAAAATTACGAGATATGACACAAAAAATTTAATGTCAATGTTGCCTTGTTTTCAAATGTCACTGCACTTGTTGCTACAATTGTTAGAAATTAGTAATTACAAACATTGACAGAATCTGTTATGATGATGAGTGTAGCTGTGGTTGTGAGATATGATCACAGATTTTGCCGCTATTGCACAAATCATCATGGTTATTGATATTAGTTTCACTACATTTGGGTACCCCAAAGACATTGATACTGTAGTTAAGTGTGATAATGGAAGCCTTACTTCTAAGTGTTTGTGATGTATTAATTTAATTTGAAAGAGTTATTTTTCAAACTGCAGTTTATGTTTAACAGGAGACGACGGCCCACGAGGTGGTGATGTTGGCATTGCAGGAATTTGGCATGACAGAGCCGAGCTCTCACTTCTCCCTGTGTGAGGTGAGCGTGGCCGAGGGTGGAATCATCAAGACCAAGAGACTGCCTGACCAGCTGCAGAACCTGGCCGAGAGGATAGGTCTCAGTAGCAGGTAACACAAACACAACCTTGAAAATCTTAATAGTTATCAATATATAAGGGGTGTTCATGATTGGATTTAACAGTGATAGCAAATGAGATAAAAAACGTAGGAACCACAAAGAATTCATTTGTTGAATTGAATGAATTTAGGAAAACATTAGTGAATCAAAATAATTCATAATTAATTATTGCTCATCATTTAATGGGAAATTGCCATCACAAAGACCTATCATCAAACATTTTTCTCAAATTCGTCAATAATAATTTTTTTAAATGGACAAATATTTTGCTGATAAAAGATATTGGCTGTATGTGTCTAGCTTCCAATCAATGTTCTTAATTTTAAATGTAATTATTTTGTGTTCCTTGTGCTATACCTGTGTGTCTATGTGGACATTACAAACATGTCAACCTTACAAACTTTGAAAAATGTACTTGCTAATAAACAATGATGGGTTTGCACATTTTATAGTGTGAATAATTTGACACCATAGCGTAAGTAGGTAACATTTTATATTTTCTAATTCATCACCAACACTAAGTATCATAAACTAAGTAATTTTGGTACATAAAAGAACATAAAACTTACCCTTCTCTCTGACACATGTAGGTACTACCTGAAGACCAATGGCAGCACAGAGACGCTGGTAGGTGATGACTTGGCCTCGGAGCTGGTGAGGGAGAACCAAGTACACTTCCTGCAACTGAACGCAGTAGAGGTGGCTGTACAGCTGACTCTGCAGGACTTCAGCATCTTCCGTCAGATAGAGAGCACCGAGTACATAGACGATCTGTTCGACCTCAAGAGTCGATACGGAACTCCGATGCTTTCACAGTTTGCCGAGGTGAGACGTTTACTCAATCGTTCGTTTAGGTGTTAATCTAGAGAAGGTTACTTATAGAGTACCATTCGTAGCATGGATTGTAGGTGAGTCAGTGGCTCAGTGTAGCATGAAGGACTATGAACCCATGGCAGCGATGTTGTGGGTTTGCACATTGGTGCCGCCACTACTATTTATCAATACAGTTCAATCTTGTACTATATTGGCTCACCTCTTACTTATATTGATGCATTCCACGAATATGCTGGACACGCAAGAAGATGGGCAAATGCAAGGCTAAAAGTACATAAATCAATAGTTGCAAGTAGTTTAGTTTGTCAGTTTTCAACGTATGTTATTTCATCAACTGTTTGTAATTGAAAAGAAGGCTTTCCCTTCGTCAATTAGCTCAAACATTTACGGATATCTCAGCATCACAATGTTATCATCAGACATTTAGATATCAGCTGAGGCAGCGTCGTCGAAGGTAAAACACATGACATAAAAAGCCTGTTCTTTTTTGTAATGTTTGATCGTCAAACGGCCGTAACAACTGTTTACAGCTTTTGAGCTCATTGACTAAGGTAAAACCTACTTTTTTAGTTACGTTACAGCTCAGGGGCCAAAACATGGATTTTAATGGCTGTAATTGTTCTAACCTGTTAATGTTAATCTTAATCCTTGATGTAGTTATTTTGGTAAGAACAACTAGCGTTTAACTGCAACAGTTCGTCTTAGGGATTCTAAAGACCAATAACTGATGAGTGGTTTGTTTATTTAACCTCATGCAATTTTATTTGTTTGTTTTGCAGTTGGTGAACAAGGAAATGTTTTGGGTCGTCACAGAAGTTTGTTCCGAGCACAATCTAGTCAGAAGATCAAAAATCATCAAACAGTTTATCAAAGTTGCAAGTACGTATTATCTTGTAGCTTAGGTTCTCCAAGAAAATTATTACTGGTACTCCAGTACATTAAGTGCATTCAAGTGCACTTAAAAGTTTAAATAAAAAATATATTGAACAAATTGTTTTTTATTGGCCTCTTGTGACACCCATAAGAAAAAGTAAATTGTTTCTCAGTCTAGGTCTCCCCATGCCACCTGTAGTAATAGCTTCTTCTCTATAGGGGAAATTCACATTATTAACCATCCTGCAGAAACATTGTCTTGTCCAGCTCTATAACCAAGTTAACACTGCATTTTGTGGCTTTTGTAGTATAGCTATTTGTATTATCTTCTACATTGGTTACTGTTGCACTATTGTATTACTAGTAGGCCTACCAATGTTTTGAAAGTGGCAATCGAGGAAGGAAGGTGGATTTATTCATGTGTAAGGAATCCATGTTATATAAACCATTCCTCAAATTTAAAATAATGAAGATAAAATATTCTTACAACTAGGGATGGACGAGATTGGATTTTTAGTTCGAGACGAGACGAGATTTTTTATTTCTCATAAAATTTCGAGACGAGATCGAGACGGGATTTCCCTTCTCATACACAACGGGAAATGCACGTTCAAAATTTTTACCTGATTTTGTAACATTGTTAGATGACTGTTTAAATACAAAAATAATGATAATAGGCAAGAATATTTACAATCTTTTATTGAAAAACATCAGCATAACATTTTTTTATTAATCACGCCTAACTTATTAAAAATGCCTACGATTAGGAAACATAGTGATATCAGTTAGGATAGAGTTCAACTTATCCTAAAATAAAATAAATCATGAAATAAAAGCAATATTAATTTTTATAAAATAGTTAGGTACTTGTTTTGACTTTTTATAGTAATAAAACATTCCTCACACTGCTTACACTTAACAAAACTTCTCAAATGTTATTAAAGTAATATTATTAAAATAATTAAAGTAATATTTACATTTAAAGAGTTAATTCAATAAGAACGCCTTCGCAAAGGAAACGCAACTACAACACGCTCCTGTATTGCGGGTATTGCATTGACTTTCTGCAGGCGTTTTTAATTTTTTTTTTTTTTTTTTTATTCTCGTCTCGATAAAAATCTCGGCCAAAAAGAAATCTCATCTCGTGTAACGAGATTTAAAATTTCCCGAAATTTCGAGACTTGACCATCCCTACTTACAACATAGATTCACAGACACCTTGTATGTCTAGAGATGTAGGCTGTTACTAAACTAACAAATATCCTTGCAGGGCAGTGCAAGGAGTGTAAGAACTTCAACTCCATGTTCGCCATAGTGTCAGGCCTGGGTCACGGTGCTGTCAGCAGACTGAGGTTGTCCTGGGAGAAGCTGCCCTCCAAGTACCAGAGACTGTTCAGTGATCTGCAGGACCTCATGGACCCCTCGCGCAACATGAGCAAGTACCGGCAGCTGGTCAGCAACGAGCAGTCCCAGCCACCCATCGTAAGTAGACATCCCATCTATATGGATCAGACGTAAAACAAAACTTGTTTGAGCTACTCACAAAAGTTGCCACAATCACAACTGATTTTGCCTTTTTTTTTCAACGCCAGTGGCATTTCACGAGAGTTACGAGAGATAAATGTTCAGTGGATGTGCCGGGGATTGAACCCGTCCCTCCCGCACCAAAGTCCGAGACGCTAACCACTAGGCTAGCAACACAACCATGTTTTTTGATTTTCTTGCTGGGATAGATGAGACATAATGGATTCTATAGTCTGCAATAAGTTGCCCTTTCTATTTCGCTTTGTTAAAAAGTCAGTGTATTTGACAGGAATGAGCCATGACTAAATTTGTTGATAGCTCAATTCAACCACATTTGTTTTATCCTAAAATGTTTTAATTTTAATATGATAATGGAATTTATAGTTGGTTTTTTCGGTAGTCAATGCTCACTTTGCAACCACCTAAGTGTTTCTAAGATTATGGTAACTGAAAAAGGTATAAAATAACATTCATAAATTACAACCAGTTATTAACTTACGCATTAACTCTTACTGCTGTAACCCTTAGATCGTGTTTTGTCTGGCCAAAAAATGTTTCCCCTAACAATAGTAATCGCTTCTACTCTTATTCCCAGTCTAATTCCAGCTCGTTCCACATTTACTTCAATATACTTTGTAGTTTTTCCCCTTCTGAGTTGTTAAAATCAAATTTTCTTAAAAAGAAATTTCCTCTTTTCTGAGAATTATTCTAGGCCATCTGATTTTTGCCCTCGATACTTTGCTCTTAATTCAATAACTTGATTTGTTTGTAGTTCTTAAAGGTCTTAATTTTTTAAGCCCCTCCCGAAGCAAAAAATCCTTGAATGTTTGATTTACAATTTAATTATAACTGTATAGGCTAGTATTTAAGTGCTGCTATTGAAAACGCTAGAAGGAACAGAAATTCTTTAAGGGAAAGTTAGAAACCAACATTTTCTTATAAACCCACACATTTTTAAATCATTGAATGATGTAATATAAAATATTTTTTCTGTAATATACGATTCAAACGTTACTAGGCCTACTCAAATGAAACCTTTTTCCAGATACCCTTCTACCCCGTGGTCAAAAAAGACCTGACGTTCATTCACCTGGGTAATGACTCACGAGTGGAAGGGCTCGTTAACTTTGAGAAGTTACGGATGATTGCCAAGGAGGTTCGGACGCTGACCAACATGTGTTCCTCCCCTTACGACCTGCTGACCATGCTTGAACTGGGCGGACAACCACCGTCGTCTGCTATGGTGGCTCTGAACCAACTCACTACTGGTGGCAACCCTGCACACCAGACTGGTGGAGCCACTGTCAAGAGAAGAAAGAAGTCCACAGCAGCGCCCAACCCAAAGAAAATGTTTGAAGAGGTATGGATATACATTTTTTGTTTGTGTTATTTTAAAGGCATCTTGAAAAAATCAAAGTTTTCTAATCAAGCTTAGTTCATGGAGCTCTCAGAATAAGGTGGAGTCCGAGATTAATTTCACACTACACAACTTCTAACATATAGATGAAGCATTTGTCAAAGACCAAAAATATTAACTGTTCCTATAGCCTTATCTTATGTATCTTATGTCATTGCTGCTTGGAAAAAAGGAGAAATATGTTTAAGTTTTCACTTATGTTTTTTCTAGGATTATTTTGTCCCTTTGTGTATATTTCTTGCATTTTAACTGTCATGTAGCATGTCATCATTTTTATTTCTTGTAAAAATTGTGTTTACTGTATATTGTATAAATAAATAAATGAAGATTACTTTTATCAACTATAAAACTTAACAATTCAATTAATAGAACTGTGGATATTTCATAGATAGAGTTTTAAAATAAAATCAGACATTTGAAAAAACCTTACAAATCAGACATTTAAAAAACTCGCCTGAAAAAAGATTCAAATGGTTGATAGGTCACTTTAAAGCCGGGATTTCCTAGGCGCGGAATCGGCGAGCGGAGAGAGGAACGCAGAGAGCGGACTCCACTTGTCTTAGACAATTTAATGTTACTGTTTTCCTAGAAGCGGAGCGTAATGCCATGTTAATTTCAATTCCGCTCTCCGCGTTCCTCTCTCCACTCGCCGACTCCGCGCCTAGGAAAACCCAGCTTAAGTTCAGAACACATCAAACTCAATTCTTGTGATCCACTTCAAGCTTCATAAATGGGGAGCTGTTTCGAGTGAATGTAGTAGAATTTGTTATGCTACTTCCTTCTAAAAAAGCCCCCTTCGAGATGTTGTGATTTTTTTCCTTACAAAAATGCCTGTACATAACCCAACTCTTTTTTCCGTAGTTTGTCTATCCTATACATAAAAATCTCTGTAACCAAGTGCTATTTCTAAAAAATAAAAAAATTATATTAGGCCTAAGTTTTTGCGATTGTCACCTTTACACTGTGTTTCATTACAGGCTCAGATGGTGAGACGTGTCAAGGCCTACCTGAACAAGATGAGAGTGATGACAGATGAGGACAAGCTCCATGAGCTGTCTGTAGCGTGTGAGGGTGGCCGCACTGGAGGCGACCACTCGGCACCTAACTCTGCACCACTGCGCAAACGCAACCCCTCCCCCACCCTGTCTACCACCAGCAGTGCGAGCAGTGCTAGTGAGGGGCGGAAACCCACCGCGCCCAAGTTTGGTGAGTTGTTGCTAGCCTAGTGGTTAGCGTCTCGGACTTCGGTGCGGGAGGGACGGGTTCAATCCCCGGCATATCCACAAAACTTAAATGGGCTTTGATCGCTTTCCCTTAAAAGTGTTTGACATCATTATAAAAATGCCACTGGCGTAGACACGAGAGAAAATAAAGAAAAAGAGTTGTACTTATGATCATAGATTTGGGAAGTGGCATACTGGTGGAAATACTAGCTGTGTTTCATTGAGTCTATTATTGCAGGTATCTAAAGGCTTAATCTTAGCTTGTAATAATTTTATTGTCGCTGATGATCCATAAGTAAATCAAGTTTATAATAGCTTGAATTAATTGTAGAATTAAAGGGGATAGTAGCCAGCTTACCTTAGAAAAAATACAGGTAGGCCATAGAACCCACAGAAGACACCTAAAACAAAAGAATACTTTGCCAACTCTCTTTCTCTACACTTGACAACGTTTTATGTCTTCTATGGCCTACCTGTATTTATTCCAAGGTTTGCTAGCTGCTATCCCTCATTATTCTACAATTCAAAGTCTTGGCCTTTCCTTGAACAAAAGAAACCTTAAATTACCTCTAACTATCTAACTAGGTTTGAAAATCGGAAACCTGAAATACATACAATTAACCCTAGTATCATCAGATCATCAAATATCACCAAATTACTGGACCAAATTTCATCTGCATCCACAATGAAGTTAAGTTTAATGTAGTATGTCATAGTACAGACATAGTTGTGAAAGGCCACGAGCAACTTGGAACATAATTACTACTTAAGATGGAACTTGAAACATATTTACTATCATAAAACTCATTTCCACTGTACGGTGTGTAGGGTCGGCATCGCCACAGTCGGTGAGGAAGCTGTTGTCGCTGAGTGAGACCAGCAAGACGAGGCCTCACCAGCCACGCCATCCTCCCCACCCTCTGGCGTCCCCCGCACCCAGTCCTGGGTCACCCCGTCGTGTGGGGGGCCGGGGACACTCTCATGAGCGGAGTCACTCCGATACTCCCCCCACACACCCTGCGCCACCTCCCCTACTGTCCAGTGTCGACCTCAATGCTGAGAGCAGCAGTGTTACCAGTCTCAGTAACCTGCCCCTGCGGAAAACCCTCACATCAGGTCAGTATGCGGCAACTGTAGGCTCGACTCACTGGATAATTTGACGTTGGTTTGAAGATCTTATTAAAATGATATACTTTTAAAACCATTTTAGTACATTCAGCAGTTAGGAGCAAAATTTGGCAGACGATAGGCACAGTTTGCAGTGGTCAGATGCGAATGTCAGACCTTGTTTTCTCTTAGTGGAGTGCAGAGATGTAATTTTAATTTTATTCGTGTTTACCATTTTATATTATACCTAAAAGAAGAAAAAGTGATTTTCCTTTGTGGTTCTATATTTACAGTAGAACCCTGGTTCCCAAAATAAAGGCGGGAGAGCCATTTTGAATAATGTAGTTTTCGGTTAACCCGTCATATATTAAAAATAGCCTGTGTATTACCACAGTGTGTAGGAAAAATGAATGTTAAACAATGTCTATATAATACAGTGTTTTATTTCAGCTACAGAAATGTTACAATAGGCTAGATAAAACTCTAATCTAAACAACTGAAGTTACTAAAGCATATTATATTACGTATTGTTTATATTTTAGCCCAGTATTATTTTATGAAACCGTTTCGGTTAAGCTGGGTTTTGGTTAACCCGAGTTCGTTTAACTGGGGTTCTACTGTAGCTGTATTTTTGCTAGTCTCATAATAACAGCTGTTTTAAGTATACGTCTAGTATTTTTACTAGTCTCATAATAACGGCTTTTTTAAGTATACCTTTAGTAATCCTACATTTTCAAAAATCCATTATTGCCAAAGTCCCGAACATAGAGCAAGGCCCTATGTTCAAATAAGAAAGGTTGCTTGTATAATCCTTGATGCTTCGTAACAATAGTCAATGTTAATATATTAACAAGACTTAAGACCATTCGCATATAATAAAACATATCAATTGTCACAGGTTTGAAAAACACAAAATAACATGTTATCTCTACTTTTTTCATTTCTTTATAAAGGAACAGATATCTGTGGGCAAATTGTTTGAAAGTATCGTTGTTTTGCAGGTTCCGTAACCTCCAGTGACTCAGGCCACTCTACACAGCTAGACTCCCACTCCAACAGTTCTGTAGAGGTGGGGGGAGGGGGGCTGGGGGGTTCATCCCCTCCCCACCGCCGCCACTCCGTCATGCAGCCACCAGGTAATATGACATTACAGTGTTTAGTGAATGACACAAAGTGGTTGGAAAGTGGTCCAAGAGCTTTTCCAATGAAACACATTTTGTAACATACATATGTGGTGAACCACTGGGTGTCTACCGGTCACGGAAGTCACGGAAAAGTCACTGATTTTGGTACGAGGTCACGAAAGTCATTGAAAAGTGAGGGATTTTTATTTTAAGATCCCAAGAGTCACAATGAATTGGGCATAATGCCTATCTGTCTTGATTTGCACCTTGCTGCAGGGAATGATTAAATTCATATAGTTCAGAATCAGTGAGAGGAACATATTTTGGGAGCAGGCAATGAGCTCAAATTGTTACGACAGAAAATATTGAATGCCCTACTATCTCATCTTCATGAAAAGTACTGTCTTATCTGTAACCAAAGGTTGTGCGTCGACCATCGTCCCCCCTCTAAAGTCTCTGAAAAAGGGACCTAAATTTCCTTTGATCAACTGGTAGACACCCCAAGGCTTAAAGCTGTTATCTTACATTACTTTGAGCAAATATCGAAGTCAGCAGGGAGTAAAAACCCATCCTATTCTTGCATTGTTTCTATTTTATAATTTTATGTGTTCTTTGTCAGTATATGGTTGTCCTGGTAAACTTGCAATCCAGCTACCAGAAGCAACTAGTAAACAATTGTTACACAAATTCTGATAAGCATTTCAGCTATTGATTATGTTGTTATTCAGTAATATTAATGGTTAGAGACAGAAAACATACCATACTTATGTAGGTATTACAAGTTTTACGTGTCCAAAGGAGTTATACAGAGTGTATAAATGTTGTGTATGTTTGTTCATCATAAGTTGGGCTACATCAATTGTAAATACCTCTTTACCTAGAATAACAATACAATATGTCACAATTAAATTTTGAAATAGACCAGTCCTCAACACATTGGTTAATGGTTTTCCTTATCTTGTAAAGTTAACTTCACTTCTGCTCACATAAAATTATCCAAGCAAGTACTTGTTACTTACTGTAAAAATATTCTAGGTACAGGGGTGGATGTGTTGGAATGGATGGTTTCTTGCATGGCATGGACTATTACGAGTGTCTGTTTGATGCTTAGTGCTGTCTATATGGCTGTGCTTTGTGTTTTAGAATTACTGAGGCTTGTTGCATAAGGGATAAATCTACAACATGTGAAAAATGTGTTTTTTTAAGTTCACCTTTAAGGATTATAAGTTGGTATAATATTTCATACAAATATATTTCATACAACATTCAACGGTTTTGTTCTGTGTAATTTATGTTTTCAAATGAGACATACACTAAAGTTAACTTGTACAAATACACTAAATGTCAATGTTAACACTTAAAATAATTTAATCCATTTAAGTATAAATACATCAGTAGATTATTTGATATGTTTACATAACATCATTACAGAGTCTTGTGATAAAATTACAAATATATCAAAACTTGAATTGGAAGGTAAATGTGACCGTCTTTTATACTCTCGAGTTGGAGGCATATCAGTTGAGAGATTGAAAACAAATTAGTACTATTTTCCGTTCTTTAAACCTCAGTCACAATTGTTTAGAGTCTAATGAGTAGGTGTAAATAAACCCTAGCGGTTACGCTTTCTAAGCTAAACCTGGAAGATTGTAATTGTAAGATGGCATTTAATGGTACTAGGTGCTAATTTGGTTCAATATTTTCAAAATTAATTCCATAAAAGACAACTCTATACCTACGGGACCTGCATTAGTTTAATGCAACAGATTTTAGAAGGTGAATTAATGAGGCCGTTTTTAAGCTCAATAGTGTCTCTTCTCCTAACGCTAATAATAACAACACGAAATAACAATATCATCAGTATCAGTCAAATGCTCGAACAGTTCAAATTTGTTTAAACCCTCAACTGAGATGTCTTCCTACTCCATGTAAGTGTGGGCTGCATGTTTACGGGGGTTTACGGTGGACCAATGTCGGTGTTTGGTGTAGGCTATGTGGCAGTGCGACCACCCTTTCCGCATGCTGTTGCAGTGTTGCCACCCCTCCCACAAATCACCAATGGTAAGTGCTACGCTTGCTATTCTGTCTTGTGTCCACTTTCTACAGGTTCGGCTACCATTTCTTTTTTCGTTATATTTACATCGTTACATTAGAGTCCTGCTAATCCGTACTTATTGGTGCCGGACACTGTTCGGATAACCAAAGTGTTTAGATTAGCTGAAAAATTATATACTAAATAGTCAAACAATCATTGCTCCCTCTATCACAGTGCTATCACTGCGAGCATCTTCAGAACAGAATAATCTGTATTCATCTAATGCGATAGTGTTCATCTTACTACACGACAACCTTAAAACAGAAACAATGTGTTAATGGAAGGTAGACCATGGGCTATTGCCATTATTGCCAATTATTTTAAATGTCCCGGTTCTATCAAAATTTAAGTACAATTCACACACTTTTTCATTGTCAGAATTTACGTACGATTCCCGGTTTTCAAGGTTTCCTGGTTGGCTGGAGATCCTGGTAAATATTTTAGAACACTTGGCTTGGTTTTTAATTTAAATACAGTATTATATTTTTTCCAATAGGTGGTTCGGATTAAACAGATATTTGGATTTGCGTGACTATGGTGTATTTTCTTTTAGACAGAATTATTTTCTAAATTCCACTTAATTGCCAAGTTTTTACCCAGTTCAAACTGATTCAGTTAAAACAAATATTTTTTACTTCATGTTTTATACTTGTTTCCTGCCTTGCGAACTTTTACCTTGACTATCGCATGTTATGTTAAGATTTGTCCATAGTCTTACTTAACTTACTAGGCGGCTGCCAAACTTAAATGCAAAGCATTACACCTTTGGCAAATACACAAAAATATCTCAAACTGAAACTAAGAGATAAGCTTCCAGGATGAAAGTAGTTGGTCAAATCTTGAGCAGATGAGTACGTCATAATATGGGAAAAAACTATGTTTCTTCATAATCATACGTTCCTGGCATAAAGCTATATTGCTTGATCACAATAGACTATGTCAATAATCTATCAATAGACTATGTCAATGTTAAGATCTTCAAACATTTCTTCCTATTTCCCAAAATAGTTAAAAAAAAATATATTTCTCTTAATGAACTAGTGTATGAAAATAACTTGTTTTAGTTTTGAGTGAATAAGCTCAGGCACAAAATAGACGACAAATATTTTGTCTTGGATCAAAATCATACCTCAGAAGCACTGAACAAATAAAAGTATAGAATATTGTACATAAATGTTCAATATTTTTTAACCTCATCCACTTTTCTGACAACCACATTGAACGGTTTTAATCGAGGATAATTAAAAAAAAAATCATAAACCCATGTAAATCTTGAAAAATTAATTACTATAAAAAATACTTCATGTGTCATAAAATAACAAACACTATTTAATGTGTTGTACATATTGGTTGTTTGCAAATTATTGTACCACCTTCTTTCAGAATCTCTGTTTATTACTTTAATCAGATGATAATCATTCGTCCTAATTATTCAGAGAGTAGGTCAAAGAGAACGCTTTGTTTAACCTTGAAAAAGTCATTAGTACGAAATATTAGTGTTAAGTTTTGTGTTATTGTATTGTGTATCCATCATTCAATACTGATCTTCACTTTAGTTTAAAATATGTTCCTTGATGTGTCGTCGTCGTAAACACTCTAAGCTGTCAAGTGTCTAATCCCTCTAATAGCCGCTGGAGTCTAATTTTCTCAGTTACGTTAACTGAACTCCATCTTCTTTGGAAAAATCATTACTTTGAGTTAGAAATTGTATAATAAAGGACCTGTTGGCCCAAACTTTGCCAATCAACAAAAGAATTATTTATTTTATTTTGTATGTAATATGTAAAAATTTTAACACTACACCCTTGATTGTATGATTGCGTAGAGATTTACGTTTTATGTTTGTCCAAGCAGTGTGCATCATGCCCCCGCCTAGTGGTCGTATCAGGCAGCCGCCCCCCGCCTACAGTGTGGCAGCACAGCTAGCCGCTAGACAGCACCGACTGGGACGAGCACACTCGCACGAGGGTGTCACGTCTCACCACCCACACAACCACGCCCACTACCACCACGATGAGGACGGTGAGTCAGGACACTTGCATAAAGCATAGGACAAGTATATTCAGGGTGTCTTGCAACCTTGTGAACTTAATTTGTCACGTTATTCAGCATGTGAAAAGAAACAAAAAAATTAAAATAAATGCGTCCTGTTTACAGTCTATCTGTATGTACGTGATTTTTACTAAAACGTTCGTAACTCCTTAATTGCTTGAGCTACAGTGTTGAAATTCTGTAAAAAATGTTTATCTTATTGACCACTATTTTTGTGCAAAATATGAATAAAAATTCTTGACCGGTTTAAAAATGTCAATGCTGTAGCTCAAACAGTTGAGCTATGAATGGTTTTGTAAAAATCACGTACAGACAGATAGACTGAAAATGGAATGAGATAGGACACATTTTATATTACCTTTTTTGCTTCTTTTGACACAGGCAAGAGCTTGTTAGTTGAACTTACAAATAAAAGAGTGAAACAAGAAAGATACAACACAAAATGTATCATTGGTGAGATCAAGTCAATTACGGCCAACGTACACTGGCCGTTCGTCTGTTGGTAAACCAACATCTGCAGTCTGCAAACAGATGTCTAGAAGCTGTCAACACACACCGAACAATCTTCACGCCTACTTGCAGAAATAAAATCAAATTGTATTACTGATTTATTCATTATATAATTACAAAAACATTTACAAATTTCAGCCAACGAGTACATTGTTAATTACTATTATTAAATTGGTTACATTAATTACTTACTCTCCATTATCCCCATTATCTCCTTATCCCTGGCTTTTTTTTGTAACAATGTCACAGTATAATTCCAGTGTTTTGCCCATAAACATGCAGGAACTCTCCTCTTCTATCAATTGATCGTTTTTCAAACTCACAGAGGTTAAGGGGATCCTCAGACAACTGAGCTGATTCGCTCACGGAGCGCTTTTGTCGTGTCGACTCGCAGACAGACACGCTAGTTTGTCTTGGCCTTTAGGATGTCGTGTTGCGCAAGAAAAATTAATTTTCCCCTGTTACTCTTTAACTTCTGTAAATATGTTTATTAAATTAGATCTAATAATGGCAATATTTTAGACAAAATAACAAAAGCGATGGTGGTAGGGTTCTAATGTGGGTGAACATCCTGCTCTCCATTCTAAACAATCCAGTCTACACTGATGTTACATTATTGAGTCAATCTGGTTACTATCTGTGATACACTTACATTCAAAGCTCAACTATACAATACTTAAATTGTGATTATAAACTCACCATGGTCTTTTTTTCTGCTAAATATAAAGCTATAAAATGTGTGAAAGTCTGGGAAAAAAGGTCTTTTAAGGAACTTAGGTAGGGTCTACAAAGGAAATATTCAATTGGAAAGTTAAAAGTGAAGTTGAGTCTGTAAAATCATATTGTGATAGATTTTGACACAATGTTGATACGAACATTTCCAAGCGATTATTTTACTCCTCTAATAAACACAGTAAATTTGTTTATCAACTCTAAGCTATCTTATTATCTGCTTGATCTAAAGATTAACTTCTTATTTACATAAATAAAGCTACTAATCTCACTGTCTAAGTCAAGAAGTATGTTGCTGGCGCCAGATGTTTGCTACAATACAGCTGTGAATGCCATTGCTTGCTGCTGTGTCAAGTCAGCCAATGAGCTTAGTTGACAGTCCGTTTTGCACAAATGATAGTTCACATTGCTCTTCACGTCAAACTCTTAAGTCTTCTTCTTATCAGTTTCATTTCCCCCCATTACCATAAACTCGCTTTTCCCAGCAGTTCCGAGTTCTTTATCCTTGCTTGTCCAAACCATCTTAATGAGATTTTCCGATTTCCCTGTTTAAACAGTCAACATAATAAAAAGTGTTTTTTGTTTCAGATGATGAGGACGTTCAGGTGTCGGCTGTTTGAAATGTCACAAAATCATCAACGAATTTACTTGTCAGTTGTCTACATTAGTCGTCGTTGCATGTTTGTTGTTTCCCGCGCCCCAAGTTCTCGACATTCCACCATTTAAGGCAGCCCTTTTGGCAGTGTTTTCCTACTTGCTGTATTTTTCAATAGTATATTTTTATCTGAGATGTATCGAAATGAAGCCGGATTTACCCATAGAGCTTCCAATCCCCTTAGTAATATGTGAAACTAGGATTTTCAAAACTGTTCTTTCAGCCTTATGGAAAAATAGTTCAAATGCGCAAACTCTTACTGTGTAGTTTGGTTTTGAGATTTATTGGTACTAAAGAACTTAGGAGGGCTAGCTGATTCTTTTCGTGAGTGTGTCCTGAAAAACGCCATTTCTGAAATAAGAGTAATCTCATTGGTAATTGTTTGAATATTGCCAATGCCATGCCTCCATTTTCAAACTGGCCTTTCAAAGTATTCTAAGAGAGTCAAATCTGCGTGTAAGGCAATTCAACACCTTCCAAGACATGTGTCCAACCAAAATCATATTAACACGATCGCTACCGCAATTGTACTAAATATTTAATTCATATGGACCAGCGACGCACATATGCGACTTCCGGTTTCTACCCATAGTCTGCCGTGGCATATGTGCGACACCTGGTCACATTAAAATAGACTGACGTATATTTTCATCAGTGTCCAATTTTATTAAAAATTTTACATCTTTGTAACAGTCTATTTGAAGGCCCTGAATTCTCTGCAGCAGTCTACTGGGATGTGTGTCGCATATGTGTGTCACTTGGTCTGTGAATATGATGATGAGTGACGTCATGATAGTTGGCAAAACTGATTTTTACTTTGCTGCATCACTGGCCTGCGGTCTGCGTGTACTGTTAACCAAGTGACACCCGGTTTATGTGTAATATTAAAACGTATACCTCAGGCCGTGGCAATGACTTTAGCGTCGCAAATGTGTGGGGATCGGTAGGGAACATGTTAAACACTCTATGAAGGTCCTAGATGTTACAAATATACTGGGCAATAACAAAATTACATAAGGACAAATTATTGAAAAAAAAAAATATTCACCTCACTCACTAAATAAGGCCTGCTAGCCCTTGTTTTTTCCTTAGACCTGTAAACAAAAAGCATCTTGCTATGTGTTATGATTATTTAGATAAACAATAACATAATTTATTCAACCAAAGATCGACCAGAAGGCTTCGTACAATCGGATCAAGTAGTGAAGATTTTGGCTATTTTTTATAGAAGAAACTTTAAATATTTAGTTTACAATCAGTGAGTGAACATAATTATCTAGTTTAATGTTTCGTATGTGATGTGGCAATGTTGTGGTTTCGTAACAATTGTTTGGCGGTCGCTTCAATTTGGAAATCATTCAGTGTTGAGTCCTATATGTTGAAAATCATTTTTGTTCATAAATTATTTTTATGTTGTTTTTAAATCATTTATTTTTAACCCTCTCAGTGCCAGGAGTAATAAATTATGTAATATATAATATATATATTATTATTAACTTATAAGTTGCTTTAAGCTTTAAACTTTGCTTTAACTTATATTTGCCATTTCATTCAAAAGTATTAAATTATTAAAGTATAAAACATGTTCAAAAAATAATACCTCAGTTCACTCGAGAATAAGTTGAGAATAGGTAATTATGTGATGAAAAATGTAGAAAAATGTTCTCACTGAAAGGGTTAAAATAATTAAATTAAGAATTGTTTAACACACGCCCTATCAGCCGTCACAACCCTGTATATCTTGGGATGAGGGTAGTCAGTTGGTTATGAATGTGTTAAATTTCACTTAATATTATATTTACTATTTTTTAAACAAAAACCATTATTATAGCTTATTACTAACCATTACTTGGGCGTTGATTTCTCAATGTATGCAGTGAAAACACTTAGATTTCTTCAAACGAGTATTTCCTTTTTCAAATCCTTATTTTCCATATTGATTCTTTGGTCTGATGATGAATTGTACACAAAACTTGTGGTGTGATATTAAAAGACATATCACACATCATATGATATTTCATATTTCCAAGTTGAGGCATAGGTTTGAGCTTATCGGTATATCAGATAACATATCTTAGGTAGGAATGTCTTGCTAAAGGCTCTTAGCGGCTGGCTTATCATATATCTGGTAGTAAAGTTTTATTTTTACACGATGTAATTTTAAAGCGAAAAGATCTATATTTACAGTAGTGATGAGTAAAAAATATGAACAGTAGTAGACAAATACAGAGTCGTTGGGATTCAGTCACCAGGATTTCAACTTTGAATGCTGAAGATGTGTTTATCTTTTTTCACTTTAAAATTTGATTATTTGTAAATTTGGCTTATTTGAATGGTCCTTAATTTAAATTTAAAATTTTTAAATTTACTTTTTTTAAATTTACTTTTTAAATTTTAATATTTTAAAATTTAGTTGTATTGATGGATTGACAATTTAAATTTCAAATATTTTTCTTACCCTGAAGTTGCCTTTTTCATTACTGTTACATTATGAAAGGAGAATCTTTCAGTAGAAATTTAGGTTTTGTGGTAGCAAAACCGTTTATTTTATCTGTTTTCACAGTTACAGTGCATGTATATTACCTTATCAATCAAACGTACATAAACAGTCAGAAATCTAAACCAGTGTTTGAAATTTTCACATACAGGAAGCTGTTCGATATTATGTTATTAAATAAGTAATAAGAACTGGTAAGTGGTAATGTTAGTTTTCACTCCTTAAAATACGGAATAAAGATGCAAAAAACTAAATATCTCAAAGTTCTTTTATTTTGGAGAAAATTTTTTTCCAAACACCTTATATATTTTTGTTTTATCAATTTTTCTTTATCAAAATAAATGTTACTACTTTACATACACTATTTAGATAGTCATGAACTAAACACTTGATTTGGATTTCTGATGTAAATATAATTTGAATCTTCTACTTTACAGTACTATATAGCTTTTCTGTACATTCTTTAAGATTTATTGTGGGTTTCTTTTGTTTATATTTCATTTGTACAGTTTAAATAAGTTGTAAAAAATTATTATTTACATTAGATGATCTTTGTATATTCTACATTTATAGATTTTTATTTCAGTTGTAAAGTATTTTGTAATTGTTTATAGTATATTTATTTGTGATTGTATTTTTTACTGTATGGAGATTATTTAGTCATGTGTAATTATTATTTATACGCATAGCGCTTCTTATGCTCTCTATTATCAGTCTTGCCTCAGAATATATTGATTATTGTGGGTAAAACTGCCAGATGCTGCTCCTTTGGCATATTTAAACATTATTTGAAGAATACTCTGGATCTGCAAATGATAACACATGTTACAGGTTTTATTATCAGTCAGGTACTTTGAACCTATGTTGCTAATTTTTATTTATATATGGACATATTTCGTAATGTTTAATCTTGAATTAGTTCAATAATCTCAGGCACTCCAGGGTTGTATAAAAAAATAAATAAACTTTCTCTAACCTAATTATTAAAACACTACTACCAACCAGTGGAAAAAGGATAACCCCTCAAACATTTGTCCCAAACAAAATATTTAAATAAGAAGACACAAAAGTCTAAACCTATTGAGTCTGATGATGATTGGAGTGTCCAATCAATATCAATCACCACTTTCAATTTTTATAAATTATTTACAGTCTTGGGAGTCAACTGTTTATAGAGTAATTATATTTTTAAGTGTTATTAGACAATTTTATTTCCTTTCTGTAAAAATCATAATACACCATCATGTTCAGCTTATCCATCTGCAATTTATGCTTTTGTGCTATATATTTTGTAATTTGTCACGGTCCAGGGTCTGGCAGTTTTACCTTAAATCGTATTTAAAATTATTTTTCTGTTATTATAATATTGATTATTGTGAACCTGTGTGGCACAGTAAAAAACCATTTGTCGAATCTATCAACGAGAAAATATCTTTATTTATAAAGTTATTATTCAATCTTATCTACTTGTGATAGCTAATTGTATTAAATCTAATCATTAGTCCAAATACCTAAGAACTATTGTCGTTAATATTTGGAATGAATCACATTATATTGTTTTTACTTAAATATTAATTTATGGTTTTATTGTTGTTGAAATCATCGGACATTTATTTTATTTTTGTTTATACACTGTACATACTACGTGTAATTGATATTTTGTACAATTATTCTACGTGAAGTGCGATCAGCTGATTATGTGACTTGTCGGAATGACTGTTTGCCGAACCCTTTCTGGAGGTTCGTTGTACAAAGTTCCGTTTGCTTGTCTGTATTATGTTAGTGTAGTATCTATGTGAATAAACTGTATCTCAGTCTTTTCCCAATGTCTTGGTTTGTTATTTACTCCTTTATTATTTGAATCTTTGATTATACAGTATTGACTTTCGATAGACCTAGTTCATTTTGAAAATGGATGGGTAAGGTTAGAAAACTATAACCTGTTTCAAAACCCGCCACATACAATTGTAAACTTTTACGGTAAAGTAGCAGAAACTATAACTAGCTGACAGACTCACCACAGCACAAACATACTTTCCCCCAAAAAAATCCCTAAATTTTAACTTATTTAAGTCCCAAATTATGACAATAGCCTATATCAACCACATAAAACATTTAATGAAGAAACATAGTTATTTGATACTCAATTTTGCATGTTTTGTTACTCAATAATGGGTACCAAACCCATTATTGTGTAACAAAACATTCAAACTCACCAAGGGTTTTGAAACTTAAATGAATTTAATAGCTTTTGTTCCAAAGGGTTAATTTTTCTAGAATTAACAGGGTTTAGCATTTCAACAAGCGTGTAAAGGTGTTACTGTATAATAGAACGTTTTGATTACGACAGGTTTTGTTACTATAGGTGTTGTACTATAGGACCCACCAAAAGAAATAACCTATATAAGCAGGTTTCATTTTTATTTTGAAAATATTTATGTTAATTGGGTCAAAAATTAAAATTAAACTTTTCTCGTGTAGATTTAACGGGGCTAATTTTTAAACTTATGACAGCCACCCTGGCCATACTACTGGACCAACCAATTTACACACGGTTGGTGCCAAATGAAAGGTAATTGTCTTTATATTTGCCCGTTTGCTTAGATTCCAGATAATATCCGACTAAATGTTATAAAAATGGAAATTAAAATCTTTATTGACAATTTAACTTGGGGTCGCAGGTTGTGTTGGTGATGAAAGGTAATTAACACTAAATTTCCCCATGTGCCTGAAAGGTTTTCTATTCCTTTATTAGTTAATCTTATATTTAAAAACTTTTGCAAAACTTATGACAGCTAGCCTGACCAAAGGATAGGACCCAATTATGCACGGGTTGTACCAAAAGAAAGGTTATTGGTCATATATGTGCAGGTTTTATTTGTATTTTGAGAATATTTATGTTAATTGGGTCAAAATGGAAAATCAACTTCTCTTATAAAGATTTAACATAGGGCTAATCTATCTATATCTATAAAAGAGGAACTATGTTACTATGTATGTGTGTAATGTATATACGTTATGGACTCCGAAACCGCTCGACAGATTGTAATGAAACTCTCAGGCATTATTAAGCATCTTTCGAGGATGGTTCGAGTGAAGTTTGGTGCAGATCTGTCAAAAAGGCTCCGCCCCAGAGGGTTTTAAGTGGGCCAATAGACTTGTTAAACTACAATGTTTACAAATAAATATAATTTAAAAGCAGATGTTTACTTTAACCAACTGTTTTGTAGGTTTGAATAATCACAACATTCTGTATTAGTCATGATTTGAAATAGTGCCACAATGATTCTACAGACTGCAGCACATTAAACTATTTTACTTTTGAATAAGTCCAAATATATTAAACCCCAATCGCAGCACACCTGTGCACTCAACAACGTTTAAATTCTCCAATGTTAAATATGTAAACATAAACACCTTTATCAAAGTATTATAAACGATAAAAGGGATGGCAATGCCTTAATATTTTTATCTTTTGTTCTATACCCACACAATTTAACATAAATTATTAAGCGAATACAAATTGTGTGTGCTATCTTGGTTATTCAAATGCCTCTCAATTTGTCATTAACCCACCACTTTACTGTCATTAAAAGAAGGAACTCCAATAATACTAATGTGAAACTTAAATCTACCGAAGCTGGGCAACGTTACGTTACCAGACTGACGATTAAAAAAATGACAGCAAAATTGATTGAAGCAAAAATTATCAGTGGTAAGTTTAAAGGAGAAATAGTCTTAATCCCAAGAATATACTGATGATTTCCGAATTACCCTCTGAATTTAAGCAACTACAATTGCCTTTGTGTCTTGCTTTCACAATCACCATTATAAGACACTAGGGCAATCCCTGACTATCGTCAGTTTAAATTTAGAAAATGCATACTTTTCACACGGACAGCTGTATATTGCGTGCTCACGTGGTGGTAGGTAGGCCTGAAAACTTATATAGGTAGGTATTTATACACCTAATGAAAAAAACAAAAAAAAACATAGTTTATCCACTAGCAATTAAGTAAAATATTCTATTTTTATTTTTGGACGTAAAGAACAAATTACCATTTAAAATAATAGTTATTAAGCGCAGCAACGCGCGGCGGGTAACTGCTAGTTCTATATATTAATAGACAAGCATGTTTATTGAAAACCTTTTTTCTAATAAATAAGCACAAAAAATGAATTTAAAATTTTGAATAATTAACGTGGGCCTTATGGGTTGCCAGTTACCATGTTGCTAACGAAATAACAAAAAAATATAAACAGAAAATCTAAACAAATGGGAGAAATTCCAATCACATGTTTTTTATCTACAGCGTAGGGGGAAAATAGAGAAGTTTGCACAATACATACTTTTGGTCGAGTTTTCGACCACGGGGCGAGCTTTAGTAGGTATTAAAAAATACAATCACTTGGCATGTAAAAAAATATTTTTGGATGATAAATGTTTCAGCAGCAGCTATTTAAAATTAATTTAAGATGGCACCCAGCCCCCAAAGGACTCTTATAAGTTTAAGAAATTGAGACACCGTGGTGAGAGCTCCAACAAATGGATAAAGACTGTCACGACGGTGTGCTGTCTGACAGACAGCGCTACACAACACAGACCAGACAAAAATAGTGGTGGGGTAACCTCAGACCGTCTGTGGTCTGAGGTTTCAACCATCAGACACGCAGACAGTCTGGTCTAAGAAAATTGGTCTGCAGTCAGCCCCACACACGATAAGACAAGTGCCAGACGCCAGACCAGACGGTCTGGTCTGGTAGTGTGTGAGGGGGGCTTAACCATTAAGGCCCCCCCATACACGCAACGATTCGCCTGCCGGCCGGACTGAAATTTGAAGTTATGTCAATGACCGTGCCTAACCTTAAACGTAAATCAAAAATAATGCTACTACTGTACTGTTGGCCTTCCGGCGGCCTGCTGGCGACCCCATACACGTAACGATCGGCCTGAAGGGGGGGGGGTTGGCCGGACGACGACCCCATACACGTAACGATCGGCCGGCCGGCGTGGACTGTTCAGGCCGGGCCGGCCGGCCGATCGTTACGTGTATGGGGGGGGGCATGACGTAACCTTAGATAAAACATGTTTTATCCATGACGTAACTTAGGGTACATCTACGGCCACAGGTGGTCGTAGATCTCCGAATGAGATTATCAATAGTGAACATGCTACCCTGTACCATAGACCAAGACTAGACAACTGATATACATCATCCTATACAGTGCTAGTGCAATACAGTCCTCTAATTAAATTTCCCCTCGAGAATTATGATAAATACACTGTTTTGTTATAGTACCAGTGTAAATTTCAATACACTACACCACACTTAAATCTCTATGTTTACTGGTTTGACCTTAGCGAGTCTAAGATGATTTCCATCCAACTGAGAAACAACCGGCCGGTAAGAAACAATAATTATATGACAATTCTTATCAGAAATAAGGAATCCTCCATGATAATTTGCTAAAATTAAAATAAAATGACCTTTTATGTGTAAATTTTTTGACAATTTTCTAATTTATTATTTCTAGAATTTTACTGCATTTTAATTCAGTTAAAAGCTGGTCTGATATTTTAACTCCACGGTGATGGCGCAGGAATGTAGATGTTGATAATAAAATAGTTCTCTAAAGATTGTACTATACTCTCTACATTCATAAGGTTTTTCTGATAGAAATGTCACGTTTAACTTAATTGATATTTTATTGATATCCTTTGGAATAATTCTTGTATTAGTGACAATTTTTCAATTATTTTCATTATGTCTTTGCGAAATCTAGTGTATTGACTTCCGCTCTGAGATGGGTTCTGCAAGTTTCCTCTTGAGCCGCCAATTGCAATCTCTCTCGTCATTTGCCTCTAGGAGTTCGGTGCATCGCTGTTTCTTATCCGAAGTAAATCGACACCTTTCTACAAAAATGAGTTTGCCACGAGTATATTTCGACATGACTGCCGATGGGCAAGCCGTAGGAAGAATTGTGATCGAGGTAACTGCATTTTATTTTTATATTATTACGAGTTATGAGTTTAAAATCACAACCCGGAACACCGGGCTACCTACCTGTTCTGAGAATGGCGTGGTCATGCAATGCCTCATTTGACTAAACCGTTTACCAAGCTCATGAAGGATAACTTTAGGGAGTGTCTTATTACATCTAAAATTGTCTATTTAACATATTTTTTATTAAATTTGATTTCTAATGGATCTAAATCAACTTTGCAAACTAAGTTTAACTTGGAAACTGGGAGTGAGGTCATGGTTATTCTTGGCCGGCAACGGGACTGATAGCCTCTTGAGTGAAAGCAGGCTATAGGCATGCAATATGAGATTAGATGATTTGGAGATGTCATTCACAATATAAGTTAGGCCTAGTTCTCAATCTTGGCTACAATTAACTTAGGCCTAGGCCTAGGGAAGCAGAGAATGGATTTGTTCAGACTTTAATAAACTTAGGCTATGGATTAGACACCCTATAGTCTAACTTAAGTCAAAAGTTAAAATCCTAGACCTCATAAAGCACATTAATTTTAATAACCTACCTTTTAATTGACCAGTTTTAGCTAGGGCCTAACTTAACCTACTTATTTCTGATAGGCCTAGGCTATCAAGCTTAGATAGGCCCTAACTTTAGTTGTTGCGGCAATTATTTAGTATGTCTACATTGGGATAAATGTAATTTTTAGATGTCAAACTTATGTAGAGTTTTTCTTTTAACTTATTTGATTTTCATTTTACATTCCAACAGTAAGCTCCATTTTGATATTTGGTAGGGTGACCCGGGGCAATTCTGGCACGGGGCAATTATAGCAATGGCCTATATTTTTTTTAAATTTCAGCTTTACAGATCAGTGAAGCAATATTTGTTATTTCAGCATATACCTCCTATATATAGGAAAGCATTTTTGTAAAAATAAAATGTTTGCAGTAATTTTTATTAGCGATTAAAAAAGTACTTTCTTCCACAGCCCGAGGATATCGAAACATCGCACACGGCTAATTTTTTTTCCCCTATGAATTTTATATTTTATTTTTTTTTATACTCAAAGATAATTGTTCAGACTTAAAACTTCATGAACAAAAATAGTAATAGCAGTTATCCCTTTAAGATATTTAAATTTAAATGGGTGCTATAATTGCCCCATTTTCATATGCTATGGGGCAATTGTGGCAAAGAACCCGGGGCAATTATGGCAGCTATATATCTTTATACAAATAATGTATAAATTAAAGAATAAATTGTATAACAACGTGTGTTATGTGTAATATGTTTCATTTCAGTTCATTTGGATGGCTTTGTAAACACCTTTTGCTTAGATTACTCTATGGCAGCCTGATTATTTTTATTGTTTATTGTTGCTAGAAGTTTTGAGGTTAAGGCCCTTGTACGCTTGTACTGTCTTACCGGTTTATTCACAACTTCCTTATAAATAAAGATAGAACAAAAATTAAAATACCATCTTAAACAGCTAAATTAGGCCTATGCCATGATTGCCCCAATGTCAGAGCAATTTAAACAATAAGGAAAATATAAGGTATTGCTATAATTGCCCCAAGGTTGGGGCAATTCTGGCATCTGACACTCCAAAAAAAAAACCTCAAACCCCCTTAAGGGGAGTTTGAGATTGTTGTCTAAATATATGAAAACACTAGAGGAATAACATAGAATTACTATGGTAATTGTCAAAATAAAATGAAAAATATGTTCACCGCGGTACAAGCAGTTAAAGTTAAGGTTCACGTCTGGCTGCCAGAATTGCCCCGGGTCACCCTACAATTTAGTGCAGTAGGCCTAGGTAACATACCGTACCTTACAAGACTTGCTTAACACGTTCGCTGCTGAGCACTAGATGCCGGGACGGCGCCAGTTGCTGAACTAACGCTCGGCCGCTGCGTGACATTGCCACCGATACACTGAATTACAATAAAAACAACAGTAGTTATACTGGATGGCAATGTTCTGCAATAAAACTGGCTTTGGATATAGTACTAAGTGATTCTGATAGATAGCAGCACTACCCAGGTTACAGTCGTTAAAGTAGTATCGCTATCTAGCAGGAAAGAGGTAAAACAAAGCCCTGTTCCAAACGACCCTGGTGGTGATTTGGAAAAACTATATTTTTTATTGTCAGAAAAGTACGTCCCCACGAGCTGCAAAGAAATATAGAACGCTTGTGACGTGCTGGCTTATCCATAGCAACGTTAAACAACAATGAACGGTGACGTTCTGGAACGTTCTTAGCTCCTGGCGCCGTGGCCCGGCTGACGTTCCGGAACGTCCGTAGCAGCGAACGTGTTAAAGCTAAGTTAGTTACAGGGCCTACCATAATGTTGAGTGAAAAACAACGCTGAATCCAAAAATGCAATCAGTTTTTGTTGGAGAGATTCCTAAGTGGCTGTAAAACGTGGGTTAACCCTCCGAGTGTTAGGCTATTTGTCGATGCATCGACTCACAAACACTGTTTACGGCGAAGGCTGACAAAATAAAAAATTGTAAGTATGACTGACAAAATCGGATTGAACTGGATCGAGTTAGGTATCGTTTTATTTTGCAGATTCAGAGCTTTCTCCGGAGGTCTGTCTCTAAGCGCTTTTCATTTTACTTGGTTCCGAAAATATTGTAGCAGACAGCTGACGTGCGTATTTGTAAACAGCTTGGTTAACCTCCCACCGATGACTGATGTGTTTTATTACCTTTATCATTGTTTTAGTGTTAAAAATCAAAAGTAGTGATATACGTGGTGCATTTTAAGAAGATTTAAGTGATTTTGAGAATGAGAATGAGAATGAGAATGAGAATTTTATTTGGTCTTTTAAACATGCAGTTACATGCAATCAGACAAGTCATTTATAATAATCATCTGGCAACAATCAGTTAGGCTAACAGTCCCAGTTAGTAAACTGGGTTGACTTAGCTTAAATCACACCATGCACAAAAACAGGCAAATATAATAAATAAATAAATAGTTAAATAATGACAACTACAATAGTGAATAAATAGTGCACAAACTACTCATATCTACTTTCAAAAAACACACCATGCACAAACTACTTCAAACTTCAGGCACAGCAAAAGCAATCAAAAGCATCTACTTACAACAGCTGTAGGAATTTCAAAAAATTCTTTTAAAGCATACAAAGGATGCGCCAATAGCAACTCTTGCAGTTTCCGCTTAAACTGGCGGATCTCCAGGTTTCGTGCTGAATAAGGCAATGCATTAAATAGATTTATTGCTAAGATATCACAGTTGAGTTGAGTTTTTCTAAGTCTAACATAAGGTATATCTATTAGATGTTTATTTCTTGTGTCATGCTCATGCACCTCGGCTCTAGTTACTACATTCCCAATACTATTTTCCTTAAACTTAACTAAAATATCAAAAATATACAAGCTGTAAACAGTCATCAGTTTCTCAGATACAAATAAGGGTTTGCAATGTGCGTCATAAGAAGCATCAGCTATTAACCTAATTGCCTTCTTTTGAACAGTTAAGATATTTTTAACATCAGTTGCACTGCCCCATAGGCTTAGGCCGTATAAAATTATACTTTGAAAAAATGCAACATAGGCTACTTTTAAGTATTGTTTGGGAACATTTACCTTCAAATTTCTTAATAAATGTACAACTCTTGATAATTTGCTGCATGTCACTGCAACTTGATCATCCCATAACAACTTATTATCTAGGGTTAAGCCAAGTAATTTAACATTATTGGAATCATTGATAGGCCTATTGCCTAACCGCCTTAGAGAAAAAATCAGACTTTGAGTTTTGGCATTATTTAAAAAGAGATAGTTTGCACGGAACCAGATAGCTGATTGTTCCAAAGAACGTGACATATCCCCTGTTAGCATGGCTTCATCTTTACCTGTACACACAAGAGTAGTGTCATCTGCGTAGCTAATGACAGTTGCGTCAGTGTTATGACTTAGATCATTGACCATGATTAAAAAGAGCAGAGGCCCCAGGATTGAGCCCTGCGGTACACCATGAGACAATGTTTTGGCACGAGAACTCTGCCCTCTAGCAAACACAACCTGCTCCCGGCCACACAGATAAGACTCAATCAAACTGAGTGTTCTAGGCCCAACCTTATAAAATTCAAGTTTTTTGATTAACAGTTCATGATCAACTGTATCAAAAGCCTTGCTGAGATCACACAAGGTGACCCCAGCAAGACTACCCTCTTCAAAACTTTCAAGAACAATCTTAACCAAATTGTCGACCGCAGCAATGGTCGACCGCCCTGCACGAAAACCGTATTGAGTGTCCGAGAGCAGGTGGTTTGATTCAAAATAAAGGGCTGGTTGATGATCCTGAAGAAGTAGGTAGTGATATTGATGTAAATTATCAGCCAGATTCTTAGCTATGGTTAGGCTATGCATTCTTAGCTAAACGCTCTGTACCGAAATCTGTTTTTTGCCCATAACCTATTTATTTGCAAATCTACTTCCTTATATTATTATATATTTGTAATCCTCATAAAATTAAGAACAAAGTGGCTATTTTCAAATATTTGTAGGCCTAAATAATTTATACAATTTCATTGAGCGCGACCTTATTTTTTTTTTGATAATTTTCCAAAATATTTTTTTTTACCTAAAAAATTTTTTTGAAACAAATGTTCCTTAAAATGTTTTATGTATAATATTGAAGCCCATAATTTTCCAAACAAAATGGTATCTCCTAGAACAGTATAATTAACATTGTTTTCAAGCTTCTCAGATCCGTTTTAATAAAACCTTGCAAATGAGCAAAAAATAGGCAGACATTAAGGCCAAAACAAGGGACACCCGGAGGGTTAAATTTACAAATTTAAGGTTCATTTAAACTTAGCGTTAACTTAAGATGTAATTTAGGCCTACTGATGGTATATGGTGTGGTCTGGACGGATCCGTAGGCTAAGTTAGGTATGTGGGCTGAGGACTGAGTGGGGAGAGCAAAAAGCTGTTTATACTCGACTTAATGCAGAATTTAAGTTAAGTAGGTAAGATCAATTCGTTTTGAAACTAAATAAGTTACAAATCAGCTCTACTTATTTAGGAATATGGGGAAGGTAGGTCGGGTTTTTTGCGGATTCGTGACTGTATTAAACTTATGTGTTTTTGAAGTTAGGTTAGGGCCTAGATTAGGAAGTTTAAGTTATGGTTTTTAGTTAATGAGTCGGTTCATTAAACCTAAACTTTAACTTACCTAACTTAATCAAGCCTATCATCAAAGGACTTAAGTTAATACAGTCACAAACCCACATCAAGTTCTACCTATCTTCCTCACAAGTCTTTTCTGTCATAAAATGGGATTTTGAAAATTCAAGTGTAGGCCTACGTGAGGTTGGGCTAGGTTAGGTTTCAACTTAGATTAGGTAGCTGAGCTTAATTATCTTAAGTTAATATAAAAGGGATTCAATAATAACTTCTTTAAGTTACTGCAGTATGCCTTAGAGGGCCAAAGAAAATGGAATCTCTTATTTGGTTCCATTATTACACACGTAATATTATTTACGCTAACTTATTATAGCTGCTGATACTTGAAATTATGCACTGTGGCACGTTTTCACTTTTAGGCACTGGGATTATGCACTATGGGATCATGCACTATGGGACGTCAGTTAACAGACGTTGAGGGTTGAAATAAGTACGATCATGTCGTTATTGATGTGGCAGTGGCATGGAGCCTCTATTGCTTGTATTTTACGAGAATAAATTAAATTTTTTTATTATTAATGTTGATATAGCCTATGACAAAGTTAATAAGTTAGTTGATGTATATTGTAGTTGAGTTAGGCTACCGTATTTTCTAAACGCCATTAAAGTCAGTTTGCTCTTACATCCAATTAACTTATTGTATATTGTCTGATTTTGCATTCTCGTCGTCGTGTGTGGTTTTGTTGGTACTTCTGTATTATCCGGAGGCCACCTTTTAACAGCGCGCTGCGGCGGTTTTGTTAGGTTGGGTTATCATTAATGGAAAGAACATACCACACTTTAATTGACTTACTGTCTATGCTGTATTTGACATGATTAAAATTAGCGGCCTTTTGAGCGATTTCGGCGAGGATTGAGTTAAATACGTCACTGCCGAGAGCTGCCACACCAAATAGGCCTACAGGCGGTGACAGGTGATGCGCGCACTCCAGTCAACGACCTCACCTTGGCTTACTTGGAGGGGATTTGGGGAGCGAAAGTATGAAGTTTATGACTCATCTGGTATTGTTTGATTCATAATGCAACGAGGAAAGTCCTACTTAATATATTTATGATAACACAACCTAACATATAGGCTAACCGCCGCAGCGTGCTGTATATGGGTGGCCTCCGGATAATACCATAATACTGTTTTGTTGGTTGGGGATCAAATGTAAACAGCCTTCACTTTACAAACTTCCCCATTCAGTGTTAGTCGCTGCTAGATCTCGGGCTCGTCCATACCAGAAATATCTGAATAACTCAACCAAACTGAAGCTTAATATTAATTATTTAATCGTACGGCCACTTAGGAATCTCTCTGACAAAAACTGATTGCATTTTTTGATTCAGCGTGATAAAAAACTGTAAGTATACATCTACATCATATCCCAATGTAGACACACTAAATAATAATTACCGTTGTTTCTTCCCAAGGCTAGACTGCCTAGGGTGGTTGATTGTGTAACAATTTGATCTAAAAATAAACACCATACTCAATTCATAATTCTAAAGCTGCGTTTAAGTTACACCACAGTTTGGAACAAAAGGTTTGAAATTTTTGGTTGTCAACACTTGTGCATTTAAGCTATCTATTGTAAACTTTAGTTTTAGAAACAAGTGTTTACCAACAAAAGTTCCATAACCTTTTGTCCATAAGTATTTCTTTGATTTTGTTGGAATCAATTTAAGTTTCTCTTGGACCTAAGTTAATCAGCGCGGGAGACGGACTGGCATCTAGTGTGCGGCGTTTGGGCGTAAGTTAAGTCATGTGGTGGTGTGTAGGCGCGGGGTAGCGGGGAAGTGTTGTAATAGGCCTAAACATCAACATTTTTCTTCTAAAACAAATGTTTCCTCATGTTAGGAACACCCTTTGTTCTTTACCGACTTCTGGTGGGAAACAAAATATCTGTTACAAAGTAGCCTAAACCTAAGTTACCAATTACCGAACACATGCCAGAAACCGTACACGCCAGTTTAAGTTTTATCGTACCTCAAATAATTAAATAACTTAAGCATCTGCTTCTATTTACTGTAATCAATAAGTACCAACTGAAGAGTACCGGTAGCTTAGGTCACTTAAATAGCCTACATTTGTGTACATTTCATCAGTCCGAACCGAAGACAAATGAATATTTGTATATCGTCACTGATCAAGTTACTACTTTGATTTAGTCAGTTTTGATTGTTCATTTCGTTCACAGTTTTGGCGAATTCCTCCAAATTGTTAAGCCTAACTTAGCCTAAATCTTTTTCCTTAAGAAAACAGTTGACTTCCTTAGGCTTCAATTTAATTTTATTAAATTAATTTTTATTGTATAAAATTAGAAAAAATTGTCAATAGCGTATGGTATACATAAGCAAACGTATAGTCAAAAAAAAATCATTTGTTACACGGACAACTCGTTTGATCAAAGCTCTTAGACAAAAATTCAGTGTATGACATATAGGCCTAAACAACTATCTTTTTAGGAAAAATCATTTTATAAGGACAACTTATTTGGTCAAAGCTCTTAAAAAATTCCGATAGTGTAATAAAACACCTATTGTCTGATGAAAAAAAATCTTTTGTTGGGCCTAGATGGACTACCTACTAACTGGATTTGTCAAAGCTCTTTTTCTTGAAAAAAAAAGTTCCCGAAGAAACGCGCCAGTAGGCCTTTCCACTAAATGTTGTTCCCTGTCCTCCCTTTCAACTTCAACACTAACCAACAATCTCGCTATTCGTTCTGCTTCGTCCATTTTATAATATCACTAAATAAGGTCAAACATAAGGGCGCACACGGAACTAGGCTCCGAGAAAACCAATGCATCACAGGGCGCACACGCAAGCTACTTCCAGTAGTGACACGAATCACTCCCCAAGGTCGACTGACACCTGGGAAAGGAGTAATAGAGTAGCCAAAACCGATTCCGCGAAAGAGGTGCGTGAGATATGGCAGGCGAAAGCCCTGCCGAAAACAAACTATGGTTTTTATATTGAAAAACATAGTGACTCGGAGGTAACCTACGTGATGCGCCCGATGGATGGTTAAACATGTAGACTAGCTTTAACTTAAGTCCCCTACTAGGACATAAAACTAGATGAATTTAACCTAAGAAAATACAGCATGCATGGCCAGCTTAACATCTAGGGCCTATACATTTATATTTCTAACGTATCTCAACCTAAATTTTAAAATTAAGTTATTTGTTTCAGCTTCGAAGTGATGTTGTACCAAAGACCGCGGAGAACTTCAGAGCGCTCTGCACCGGAGAAAAGGGCTTTGGCTACAAAGGATGCACATTCCATCGTGTGATCCCCAACTTTATGTGTCAAGGTGGTGACTTCACCAAGCACAACGGCACTGGAGGAAAGTCAATCTACGGCAACAAGTTTGAGGACGAAAACTTCACACTGAAGCACACTGGCCCTGGTTAGTAACATGTTATCATTTGATATTATGATATGTTAAGATCTGATATAATAGGCTATACTGTTAAGGTTCCTATTGATTTTTGGAGCACTTTATAAGCGAAATATCACAATTTGCAATCAGTTTTATTGTCTTTTCTGTCGATTGATAAGTTGGCCTAGGCCAAAAATAAATAAAGGAAAAGTTAAAAGCAAAAAGTTAAATGAGGTCATTTTTAATTTGGCCAAGAAAAACATGGCCTAACTCCTAATTTTGTTGTAAGTTTAATAAAATTTTTTTTAAAATAAATTCTAGGCCTAAATAATAAATTCTAGGTGTTTGTAATCTATTTTACAAACCTGTTTGTGGGCTAATCTTGCACTGAAATGTAGTTAAAGGCTACTACATTACACATTACTACCTTACAAGTTAACACAAGTTATTAAATGCTATCATCAATCAGGATTTTAAAGATAAATCATCAGATTAAAGACAAATTAGCATATTTTAACCTAAATATGAGTAAAGAATGATGAGCGTAGAATGTAGCGAGATGTTTTGTGTAGCTTTGTTACTGAAACACCAGCTGTTTCGTTAGCCAGGCTAGGTCCATATTTTTCAAAGCCCAATAATTAACCCTTTAAGGCAATTATGAGTGTTGCTTGTCATGGCATTTTGAAGTGAGATAGCCATACTGCTATATCACTGGCGCTGAAGTAGTTTTTCACATCTTACCTACATGCACTAGTGTCACATATGTACAACATAGTAGCTTTTGCACAGCTAGGTGACCTAGTGGCTACTGGCTAAGGCATAGCACTGACAAGTGACTCGCTGCTTGATGGTTATTTAGGCTAGACATGTGTGGGTTCAATTCCTGTACATGAGGAATCCATATTGAGCTTCTAATGTGAGGGTGCACCTGGAATAAATGTCTGGCAGGTGTTAGTTGAGAAGTTGAAGGTGAAATTAAGTAAGTTAGTTTTAATAGGGATTGCACTCAACGCCTGTTTCTTTTTATTTTATTATAGAGGAGTGGGACACAATTTTTTTGGGACACAAATTCTGCCTTTTATTTGGTTGGATAAAGATAGATTGTGTTTAAATAGATAAATGCATTAACAGACTTCAAACAAAAATATTTTATCATTTACAATTTATGGTAAACTACAAGTAGACTTGTTTGTGTATTTATCTTTTATTTCTAAATTGCTATTTGTGACCTAAAACTAAAGGTAACAACAATGTAATAAAACGAACGTAAAAAATCAGACATAATACATCGGCGACAAGCGCTTGCATTGTTATGACATCGCCAGCTCATATGTCTTAGTTATTGATTGTCTTTATTGTCACAGGCATTTAAACGGCCAAAATACATAAGCTATCAATCAAAAGATTATTTGTTTATAACCTAGTACTACCGAGTTAGTAGGCTGACTACCTATAGTGTACAATTTGTTTGATTTTGATGCAGAATCATAGCTGAACGTAATGTTAATGCTTCAGATATGGAATAAATCGCCCAATATTGTGTGCATACTAGGTGTAGAGCTAAAAATCCTCCAGCTGATGAACTAGAATAATAAATTTACATGGAGAGTGTTCAGAATTTATGCTTTTACCCACCAAAGACTTCTGCACATCTAATGCTTAATAGTTGACCTTGGTAAATAGTAAATACTGTGCACTAGCTATGTGATACTAGTCTAGTTTGCTAATATTTTATTTTTTAAGACTGTGACACAATGGATAGTGATAACAACTAGTGATGCAAGAAATAATATATAAATACATATCAAAGATAGATTTTTTTTAAACAATATTTTAAATCTTGTGCATGCAGAAAATTGAAAAACTTTCTGAAAAATCTCTCTGAAATTGTGTTTTATCAAGGTCAACAACTGTAATCGCAGGTAATGCTGTCAAGGTCTAATTAATTTCACAATTCCTCTGTGGCATGATGTCTAATTTCAAATTTATATGTTCTACAATGTTTAAATTACTGCAAGTTTATGTGAAAAACTATTGTGAAACTTGGTTAGAGGTAAAATTCAACAATATTGTGTTTACTTAATATTTTATAAGGACTGTTAACATACAAAGTATTAAAAACAATATAATATAAATAAAATATAAAAATTTATATTAAATAATATTATATTATAAAATTGCTTATTCCACATACAGTAGCCTATTTTTAAAAGGTTTTATGCATAAAAAGTTGGTCTGAGTATTTCAAAGCTCCACATTATTCATAATACCCCAAATAAAATCTCAGAATATTTGTTTATCAGTAAGAGAGGTTTTTAACTTCCAGTTCTAGACTCAAGGGAGAAAGTCAGGAAGATTCCTCCAAAATCATGAATTGTTGGTTTAATTATGGGAACTATTTGTGAGAAAGTAGAATTCAAATAACAAACAATTGCCTAACTATCCCTGACTACATGTTGTAAATTGACTTGTTTGCTTTTAACAAAGTAATTAGGACCCTTGAAATGTAATGTAAATGTTCTACAAAAATAAAAAAAAATAAAAATCTGGGCTTAGGTTAGCTCAAAAATCATATAGCCTAATTAGACTCATTTTTACATCAGTTTCACTCTAATTGTTGTGTATATTTTACTGTGTGAACTATCTTCTTCTGTTATAATAATACAATAAGACACACATTCTTTAACGGGATTGCTTTTAAGTTTACCCTATTGGCAAGAAAAAAGTAATGACGTAACGTAAGCACACTCGAGCAATTTTTGTTTGTTATGTCCTACCTTCACTTCCCAGTACATAATCTATAGACCTAGAGAGTTGCAGCACTCTCACTTGGAAAAAATCCATTTGAATAAGCGGATTTGCACCCGGTACCACAGAAAACATATTACTATAACCCAGAATGCCAACCGCATGGTAAAAAGCATTAAGTGTTTTGAGAGAGCTTTGCCTGTCAATCGTAGGCAGCGCCACCAGCGTTGCCATGCACTCAGCATAGCAACGCTGGTGGCGCTGCCTACGATTGACAGGCAAAGCTCTCTCAAAACACTTAATGCTTTTTACCATGCGGTTGGTATTCTGGGTTATAGTAATATGTTTTCTGTGCCGGTACCTGGGGAACAGAATTCCCGCAGTCTATCACTATACCAGCTAGCTCCCACACTCAAGCATTAGCCTACAACCGTTTTCGCTGATCCTTAATCCATGAGGGGAGATGAACTAATTACAGTTAACTATTTTAAAAGCTAAGTTAGATAAACCCTGTTTCAGGTGTGATGTCCATGGCCAACGCTGGTCCCAACACCAACGGCAGTCAGTTTTTCATCACAACTGTAAAGACCAGCTGGCTGGACAACAGGCACGTTGTGTTCGGTTGCGTTGTCGAGGGCATGGACGTCGTAAAGAAACTGGAGGGCTACGGCTCCCAGAGCGGCAAGACCACCAAGAAGATTGTCATCGAAGACTGTGGCCAACTGTCATAAGTTTAAATGAATGGTCGTTGAAACAGTAATTTAATCAGAGTAAAGCTCCTGAACAAATCACTAACCCCGCTCTTGAGTCCATTCCATTGTTTATTGTGGATAGAGCCTAGGAAGAAGTCAATTTTATTTTATACGACTGGCCACAAGTTAGATTTTTTATCGTAATTGCAATATAGGAATTGTTATGTCTGAAGAATGAGTGTGCTGTAACGGTTTTTTACTCAGTTTTGTTAATTTGCATTTAATTTTGTTCATTTTTTTAACTTACTAAAACTGCAATATAAATTCTAGAAATAAATCATTTTGTCAAAACGATGTTTTGTTATTTACTGTCCTAACCCTGTCATTGATAGGGAAGAGTATTTATGTGTACCAAGAATAATTTAAAATAAAAAAAATGTCATCATCTGGATTCTTCAAACAGAATTTAAAGGTATATGGAATTTATTTTAGGAAGGATTCACTCACCCACCTTATTTAGATATCTCTAGATTTAGATCTTAATAATAAGGGGAAGGAGCTTACCTGGCCCCTCATTATTACTCATTATAAATACCCATTGAAAATAAAAACTTTGGTTTCGTCTCTTCATACTGCAGCAAAAACAGCTGTTTTAAATAAATGTTATTTGCGGGTCAAAAGTAGCTCTTATACTCCCTAGGGAGTGAAAATCAGCTGTTGTAAACTTTAATTGTGTGTATTGAAAATATTTGTCGATTGACTTAATCGGTTGTAGCTTATTGTTGTATTATTGTCAATAGTTTTGACATATCGATAGTTGATATTATAATTTACAGTATTTCTTGCTGACAGTAATGTACTAAATGATCGAATCATTTACTGAAAAGCTGCTTATTTGCATTAGCAAAATGAAAACAAACTGGAAGCTGTTTTGAGAGGTTATCTTTATATGAAAAATAGTTTCATGTTTTTTTACTAATGTTAAATTATGTTGCAATATGATAAAAAATATTGTCCATCCCACAGGCAAAAAGTGTCTTTTCAACACTCGCTCATTTTCTGACCTATAATTCTAATAAAATAAGTTTTGATGAATATGTTTACTAGTATGATTATTTGTGGAAGATATTAAAAGTTTCTGTTTTTGACTTCAGTTTGACTTTTCAAACACTGAATTTGCTGTTAACTTACTTACATTTTTTCTATTAATTTCTGCCCTTAAACAGTGCCATGGGGATGCGGAATGTAACAGCAAGTTTGGTTGGTTAGGCTAGGTTAGTTAAGAACAGAATGACAACAAAACTTGAGTGTCCATTACTGGAAAACTGCCCCCCCCCCCCCCCCCCCCGATCTCTGACGTCAACATGACGTAGAAACCTGCTAGGTGGGGGGAGGGGGTTTATTCTTTTGGCAACCCAGTGCCACCATTGGTATCCCAGGAACTATTATATTTAGAAAAAATATTACATGCCGAACATGGAAAGTATTTTCATATCCCATTAAAAATATGGATTCCACTTGTTCAAAAATGGCATTCATCTTGAATGAATGTCAAGAATAAAGACGTTTTAAAATCAAATTAACATTAATATTGCAATAATAAAAAATACAAGATTTTCCCCTTAATAATTTTTTAGGTTAGATGTCATACTGGATAATTACAGTAGACTCCCTCTCATCCGGACACCTTTTAACCGGACTACACTCGGCGGAAATGACATCTCTTTAACCGGACAATTTTTATTAGCACATCGGTTTAACCGGAATAGATCGCCAGGATGTGGGCGGTACTGAAACGGCTGTTCTGGTCGGAAAGATTTGAGACCAGTGATCATGTACATCTAAATACAATCCTCTCCTAAATTTAAGTCAAATATTTGGGCTACATAACGTGTTTTTGGGGACGTCGGAAACGGAAAACCCATTATTCGGACGTGCCTAGGTCCCGAGGAGTCCGAATAAGAGGGAGTCTCCTGTAAGGCCATTTAAAAAAATGAATTGTACTTTTTTTTATCCTGTTAAAAAATAGGTGTTTTTCATTTGACATTTCTCTAAATATAATAGTTTCTACAAACACTAATGGTGGCACAGTTTGTACGTATACCCTGTATATCATAAGGTAGGCTGACCATGTTAATTTTTATATACTTTTTACCACATGTTGATAGGATTATTTTGGTAATTTTTTTTGTTTTTGGGGGCCCCCCTGAAGCAAAAGAAAGTGGTTTTTGAAGTAATGTCTGTTTCATGGTATCCTTTTTTGAAAAAAATGTTGATTTTAGCGAATTTCCCTATAGGGAAGTAGCTATTACCGTAGGTCTCATGGTAAGACCTAGGCCCGGGACCGATTTACTTTTTCATTTTGATGTCCCCATAGGCCAAAAACACCATTCGTTAAAATTTTGTATATCTATATACAGTATAGCGAGATATGTGTCCATCCGTACGATTATTTTATAGTATTATATTTTTATCTATCTATATATTAATAGGCAAGCATGTTTCTTTAAAACCTTTTTTCTCAGCTCGTGTGCATCGTAGGGAAAATCTACGCATACCGTTGGAAAGCTATTTTCCTGTAGGTGTGCAGAATCCCTTTATAAATTTAAATAGGCTCAAAGATAAGCACAAAAAATAAGTTTAAAAGTTGTAAAAAATTAACATGGATCTTATGCGTTGCTATGCTGGTTACGAAATAACAACGAAATATAAACAGAAAATCAAAACAAATGGAGGAAACTCCAATCACATGTTTTATTTACAGTGTGGGGTGAAAATAGTTAAGTGAGTACATTACATATTTTTGGTCGAGTTTCGACCACTGGACGACCTCTCGTTCTTTTAATTACATTGATTGTTGATAGAGTGTGTGATGTTTGTTTACTACCGGTAATCAACAACTAAACAAAACTGTAAAAATTAACGGTTTATGATTTATTGTAACTTTGTGAATTTTCCCCATAAAATATAATATTAGTTACACCCCCCCCCCCCCCGTCCCCCTACCCATGATAAAGGTTGTTGACAAGATAATGGGAGGAAAAATGGAAGAATGTGTCAGATAGCAGATACCATTTATTTATGTTTATTTTGATATATTTTTCTAGTCCATTGATGCCTCCAGAGCATCAAAACAAGTGACTAAATTTCAGATGTCGGACAATCTTTCAAGTTACGGTACCGGTAATAGAAATCCAGATAAATATTTTATCATTATTGACCAAGAAAGATAAAACAGCAATATCCATTGAATTGAATCACCTCTTTCATTATTGATAACACAATGACAGTGGAATTGTAACAGTGCTCCGAGACGTACATAATCTTTGTAATGAAATTAACAAGCTCAATTGATGCTCAACAACTCAACTTAGCTTTGTAATAGCCTACTGTATTTTCTATAACTGGAAATGGCTCAACAGCTGCCTAAAGTATTTTTCGATATAACAGTTGATGGTGAAAAATTTGGAAAGGTTTTTATTGAGGTGAATATTCTGTTGATTTATGACCATCAACATGTGCTTGTCCATATCATCCAGGTTTTATGCAAATTAAATAATATTTAATTTTTTTTTGTAGTGGACAACTATGCATGCAACATAATTATCAAAACTTACATTTTTTACTTTATAATAAAAGAATTAAAATGTTTTTCATGTATTACAATACAGGTCTATTCCTAAATATAACAAAACAGTGCGCTTTTGTAAATAATGAGGCAGTAATTTGTAAATAAGGCAAATAGTAGTTAACGCGGTAAAAATAGTTTTAACGACACAAGTAGAAATTTAGTGCCTTAGAAACTTCTAGGAGTGTCGTTTTTAATTAGTAACAAAGGTACTTTCCTGTTAAAGGGAACATTCATTATCATCGATGATTTTTTTCTCGACATATCGATATTAACAAATTGAAACATATCAGCTGACAACTACGATAAATAAATATTGTTCAGAACCGACAATCAAGAATTTAAAAAAAATATTGAAATAAAACTGTTCTAAACTAACCTAACAAAACTAACCAAACTTGCTGTAACATTTAAAAACTCCATTTAATAGTCTCCACTCGCCTTTTCTGTTATCAAACAGAATTTTTAAATGGTACAGCAAGTTTGGTTGGTTAGATTAGAACAGATTCATTTCTTTCCATATAATAGACTATATTTTAGCCTAAATATCAGCTGTCAATTTGTAATGTATCATAAAGGAAAAAAATCGATATATCTTTTACATTAAATTTTCCTTTATAACCTATCATCGACACTGAACAGTGAAGCTATCAGGCCCGTTTGTGACCCTGTCAGCGCCCTAGGCACAACTAATATTAGTAGCGCCCCTTTGCAATATACATTACAGGGTGTCCACCGACCGGGAAAACCTGAAATCCGGGAATTATGCTCGAGTTTTTTAAAAACCGGGAATCATATGCATGAATTTTGTATAACCACCTGGAATTTTCAATTTACAGCCATCACGAATGACTACAGTGACCGTGGGAGACGACAATATGTCTACACAGCTGCGAGGGATTATCAGAATTTTCCGCGATCGCAGAAGACGATGATGATAATGTCCACACGAACGCAGGAAACGGCAAGAATTTTGTTGCGGTCGTGGAAGACGATGATGGACACATGACTGTGGGATATGATTAACATTTTGCCGCGATTGCGTAAAAGAATAATTGCGATGTCTTCACGACCGCGGAAGACGATTGTGATATCTACAGGACCGCAGGAGATACAATAATGATTACGAGGGATGATCAGAATTATTTCGCGCAAGACGATGATAATGTCCACATGAACATGGGAAAAGATCAGAATTTTGCCTCATTCGCGGAAGACGATGATCTATACAATACATGGCCGAGGGAGTGGGATATGATTACCATTTTGCCTCAATGGAGGGAGGTGATTCAATTACTATGTACAGTACTAACCAACTCGGGGGACGATTAATGATGTCTTCACTGCCGCGAGGGGTTATCAGAATTTTGCCTCATTCGCGGTAGACGATGATAATATCCTCACGACCACGGAATATGTTCATATATTGCCATGATTGTGGAAAATAGTAGAAATTTGCCTCAATCGAGGGAGACGGTTGCAACGTCTACACGGCCGGAAGGGATTATCAGAAGTTTACGGCAATCAAGCAAATTTTTATTTTCAAATTTTTTGGTGCCCCCAAAAAAGCCAATTTCCTCGTGCCCTAAGCTCGTGCCTATTAGGTAAATCAGCCCTGGATGCAATGACTCGTACCCACCACTAATTGCGCGACGCATTACCAATTAAACTAAACAGCTGATAAAGTTAGTTGAAGTTCGAAGCAATACAATATTTTTTCTCTCAATCCCTGAACCTCGTTAGTCCTTACTCGTGTTGAAGTAAAACAATGCTGTTAAGTGAATCTTTTCAATTCAAACTGATCTGAAACGGCTAGTTTAAACAACGGTTGTATAGGTAAAATAAAATAAGAAAACCACATTAAGTCAATTTAAAATCTCACCCTAGATTTATTTCTAAATTGTCTCCTTCCAAGAAAAGTTATAGGAGCTCCAAATACACACTTCAAGTAATTAAAAGTTCTTAGACAGCTTTGAGATTTATTAACTCACTTTTTTTCAAAATTCATTGTAATAGCCCCGTAACTGCTATACTAATGGATTTACAGTACCTGTCAGAAGATCCAAATAATTTTTTAAAAGTTTTGTTCTAAAGAGCATATAAGCTTTATTCTGAGGATTGTAAGCTTTGTTCCAAAGAGTGTAAATTTGTTTCATCGAAGATTGTATAGTTTCTCCGAAGAGTGTAAGCTTTGTTCTGAAGAGTGGAAACTTTGTTCCGAATAGTGTAAGCTATGTTCTAAAGGTTGTAAGATTTCCAAAAGATTGAGCTTTGTTCTTGAAGAGTATAAAGCTTTGTTCCAGAGATTGTTAGCTTTGTGTTTCACTGAGTATTAACTTATTTGTACTCCAATAATGAGCATAATACTAGTGAGTCTTATCTTTAGGATGAACAAGCCTATTACAACAATATTAAAATATAGTTCTCTATTACAGCTAAGGAGTGATGTTGTACCAAAAACAGCAGAAAACTTCCGTGCATTGTGCACTGGAGAAAAGGGATTTGGTTACAAGGGTTCAAAATTTCACAGAGTCATCCCAAACTTCATGTGCCAGGGAGGGGACTTTGAGTTGGGTACAGGAGTCGGTGGAAAATCAATCTACGGAACTATCTTTGACGATGAAAACTTCATTTTGAAGCACACTGAAGCGGGTAAAGTTTTAGCTTTTAATTAACTATTCTTAAGCATAAAAAGCAAGAAGAAGAACTAAGAATTTGTCTTGTAAATTCGGGGAAACATTATGTTCTTTTTGGAATACACGACAGAAAAGGGAAAAGCAATGAATATGTTTTTTTAAGGAAAAGTTTGAAACTAAGGTTGGTGTTTAGAACTTGGAATTACAATGCAATGTAGAACATTGTTTGTAAGGTAATACATTCTTGCACATTTCTTATATTTTTCAGTTTGAAAATGCAGGCTTTTTGTAACTTATACATATTTAACAAAAACTCTAAACCTTAAATTCAGAATCCTTACTGTACCTCTTACAGCTCATACTTTTCATCAAATTGCTAGTTTGATGAAACATCCTTAATAATAAGACATCAATAATGTTTTTAAGAGAGACATTACAGTACTTCAGCTCAGCCACCTTTTTTTATCTGATTTCATTGGTAAATTGTATAGAAGAACTGCTAAAAAATTAAAATTAGTTTAGTTCCCAAAATGGTTCCATATCTGTACATGACTAGGACCATTTTCTTTACAACTATTGTGTGATTCATGCTATCATATTTTTCCTTAAATATTAAAAAATCTTTTACAAAATCGGTGTGCCTCAGGAGTAGTATCAATGGCCAATCGAGGGCGGAATACGAACAGCTGTCAGTTTTTCATCACTTACGTCCCAACCCCTTGGCTGGATGGGAAACATGTTGTGTTCGGAAAAGTGGTCGAGGGTTTTGAAACTATCAAGAAATTAGAACAATACGGACAAATCCCAGAAGGAAAACCAAGCGCAAAACTGATCATTCAAGATTGTGGGGAGCTGAAAATATGAAGATTTTGTATATCGTGGAATTTACTTTATGAATGAGTTACTGTGATATCTGTAAAGAATAAACATGTTTTTACAAAACTATGATTTGTAACACAATATTTCCACACAAAATTCACAATTTTTTTGTAATAATAATTTAAGACTCATCATTACAAAAACCTCACATGATTTACTTAAGTTCTGGATGAGAATCACTTGGATTTCTTTTGCTTGGATAGAAAAACATATTTTTCGTCCCGTATAATATGTGTGCATTTTAACTTAAGATTGAGAAGATTCAAGAGTCGGGATAAGGGATAACTCAGTGTGGAACTTTAGTGTACGTCAGACCCAGTGGCGTAGTCAAAACTTTTCCAGTGCCGAGGTCATCATTGCTTAGGAAAAACCAGTTAACCAGGGGCCACCTTAATAATAGGGTTTTTGGAAAAAAGCTAAGTGAGAACGCTGCTCCCGCCCCACTACACTACCCTCTGGAAAGCCATACAAGTATATAAGCTCCAAGACTGTTTTTAGAGTGACAATATGAATTCATTCATATCAGATATAATCCAGTAACCTAACGCATTTTACCTTGCATGAAATAGGGTAGTAGGTTTCTTTTTTTTATGTTGTTTGTAATAGTACCGTGATGCTAAATCCAAAGTTTCGACCTCAGCGACCTTCCGGATCACCTCCAAAAAGCTTAAAAATCGGTGGAATTTTGCACTATTTTTACGTTTGTCCAATTTTGACCCTGAAGCATCACTTTTTCATGTAGAACTACCATAACCATTTTTAAACTATATTAAATTACCTATCATATAAGACCAAAATGGTTATTACAGGCCTAATAGTTTTCAAGATATGACTCCGCAAACAACGGCTAAAATTACCAAATTTTGATTTTTTTTTTAGTTTGGCTAACTTTAATCCTAAAGCATAACTTTATCGTTATTTTTCATTAAAACAACCATAATTACTTTGAAACTGCATTAAATTACTCACAATTTAAGACCAAAATGGTGATTATAGGCCTAACACATTGAGAGATATGCCTCTTCAAGGTTCATAAAATCTTCCATAAATGTTTGTATTTTAAGAATCAAGTTGTTCAATTTGGTCAAATTTTATAAAAGAATCATAATAAGAATACAAACAAATTTATTTCATTTTAAAAACATATTATAACTTTTTTATTGAAGAAACCTATGGTAATTAAAATGTTTATACTATCAAGAGGAATTGATATAAAGAATGAAGATGCAACAGTGAAAAAAGGTTTCAACTTTGCTGTCGTTCTGACATGCAATATATTACTTCTTTTATGCCAGGATTTACTGGCACTCCTCGGGACCTCCTGTCCTGTCTGTGCTGTATGAATTGAGAAGTAGTGGGGGGAAGGACCAACTTGTTCAAACTACAGCACAGACACTAGAAGGACATGGATATAGGTATCCTTACATGAGCCTGATAACAGATAAGGAACTCTTACACTGTATCTGCCTGCCTGCTTATGAATTTTCACAATTTCTTGATAAGGAATAAGATTTAACAACCTTTAGGTATGCTATACCTTTAAGAATTAAATCAAGAGGACAAATTGTAACAAATTTTGAGAATTTAATTGAAAATGAGACTAATAATATGATTTCTTGGGTGAAAAAAGTTGTCTCAATTTTAAATTTCAAAGTCCTATAACTTTTGAACGCCTCAACCCATCAGTATGGGATTAACTGCAGGATGTATATAATTCAAATATCTACAATATCTGACCAAAAAACTATATGGCATCATGAGTCATATCATGGTTGTTTGTAGGTATATGACCACAGGCGTCCATACTCCCCTTGGCACTGTATGTGGTATTTAGCTCTTTCCTGTGTTAAAACTTAATTCCTGCGTAAACTATAGGTTTTTATTGGTATTTTTTGGTTTCTTACCTTGCTCCAACTAGTACTCTTTTGATATATGAGGTATCAAATGAATAGTGATTAATTTGAAAAATATTAAAAAATAATGTAAGGTTTGTACAACAAAAATCGCATAAATTCTTGTAAATCTGACTTTGTTTTTGATTTATGAAGCAAACTATTGACTTTTTATAGTCTCAATTGGTTTTATACCATAGTGGGTATAGTGCTCTAGTGTAATAAAGTATTTTCAAGAGTTAAAAATATATAAACTGTAAGAAAATAAACAAATAAAGTAAAATGTTAGCAAAAATAATTTGAGTATTTTGTTTACGTAATGTTTTTCACTCATTAAATATGATTTTTTTTTGTCTAAGTTAGAATTGTATTCCATTTATATACGCTTTGTGTAATTTAAAATACCATAATCTTATTCAAAATTATTAAATTTAAGCTTTTTGCCATTTTAAAGTTGAAATCAGAAAATCTGTTACGCAAAATCAATTTTTTTCACCTATTAAATGAGCTTTATTTGTATATCTTATAGTTGTATTCATTTTATACACTCTTTATGCAATTAAAAAACCATAATTGTATTCAAAATTATAATATTTAAGCCAATTTTAAGCATTTCAAAGTTAAAGACAGAAAATTTGTTAGGTCAAATTAGTTAATTTATGTAATGTTTTTGACCCCTTAAATGAGGTTTATTTGGAAAAAATACAGTTGTAATCCTTTTATACACTCTTTATGCTATTACAAAAGCCATATCTGTATTCAAAATCATAGTATTTAAGCCATTATTAGGTATTTCTATGTTGTAAACAGTTTAATTTAAAATAAAAATTACGTACAAATAAATAAATACCGTTCGTCACAGGCCTGTGTTCTATCCCCGAGAACCATTTATTGTAACAATGTACGTGTGTGTTTATGAAGATAGATACAATAGATTTATTTCCATTTAAAAATAAATTGTTATAACACAATCTGTACTCAGAATGAAATAAATTCGTTTATTTTTTACTTTGGTTCCTTTATAAAACTTGACCAAATTGAATAGCTTGAAAGTTGAATCTTAAAATACAAACATTTATGGAAGATTTTATGAAACTTGAAGAGACATATCTCTCAATGTGTTAGGCCTATAATCACCATTTTGGTCTTAAATTGTGATTAATTTAATGCAGTTTCAAAGTAATTATGTTTGTTTTAATGAAAAATTACGATAAAGTTATGCTTTAGGATTAACGTTAGCCAAACTAAAAAAAAATCTAAATTTGGTAATTTTAGCCGTTGTTTGCGGAGTCATATCTTGAAAACTATTAGGCCTGTAATAACCATTTTGGTCTTATATGATAGGTAATTTAATATAGTTTAAAAATGGTTATGGTGGTTCTACATGAAAAAGTGATGCTTCAGGGTCAAAACTTGACGAACGTAAAAATAGTGCGAAATTCCACCGATTTTTAAGCTTTTTGGAGGTGATCCGGAAGGTCACCGAGGTCGAAAATTTGGATTTAGCATCTCGGTACTATTACAAACAACATAAAAAAAAGAAACCTACTACCCCATTTCATGCAAGGTAGACCCTGATTTTTATAACAAGGTTACTGGGTTAATAGGTAAATTAGAAATAACCTCTTTACCATCCTTACTCTTGGAAAGGCTAAAGCGCTGAAGCTCATGCTGTAACTGTAGAACCTTAACCTTTGAACTTAAGTGATTGTTGCACAGTTTGGTTATTATGTCTTGCCTGGAAACAGCACCTAAAATTAGAGATCTGAAAGATATCCACACAATTTTTTGATGGTTAGATTTTTTAAGGTTTGTAAATGAACCCAGTTGCTCTTGATCTGGGCTTATAATGGTCTTGAGTTTTACTAAATTTCAACATTCTTTTTTATCTTGTCTATTCCACAAGAAATATGTTTTTGGGTCCAATTCTTTCTTTGTAGGACTAAGAAAATTAGAGAAAAAATCTATTTCTGTCAGAAATTTTTTCATAACTGAAATGTTTGGGGAAGTCAAATGAATACAAATTACCAAAACCTTTTGTGGAATTTCTGTACTAAAATGTGATATTTTTGGTGTACTTTTATTGAATATATTTTCTTACGGACTGTGTTTAGGACTCTTGTCCATGGCCAACTCTGGACCTAACACCAACGGGAGTCAGTTTTTCATCACTTACACCTCAACACCGTGGCTCGACGGAAAACATGTGGTGTTCGGCAAAGTTGTTGATGACACTTTTGAAATTATTCAACAGTTAGAAAACTATGGTACAATACATGGCACCCCATGGAGACATCTTCTTATAGAAGACTGTGGAGAGGTTAAAGACTGAATTTTTGTATGTTTTAAATTTTGAAATATAGTTGCTTAGTCCCATGAGCCCAAGCAATTATTTATTGATTCAACACTGTACCTACGTGTATTATTTGTTTTTGCCTTATGAACACAAAATACCCTATTCTTATCAAACATGTTTTAGTGGATGCACAATAAGGAAAAGTAAAAAAGTAGGAATATTTGTGATCGTGATTTGATCATGTAAATCTTACAAATTCTTTACAGCGACTTCCAACCAAAGCCGTTCACCTTTTTTTCAGGTGGGCCTTTTCCACCAAGCAATACCATAAACTAGTGAACCCAGTGGTAGAGTTCTTTGTTATAACTTCCCAAAGATCAAATCAGCGAACACCAAATACTACAAAATACAACCACAGAGAAGTTAGAGGATACATGCTTTGCTTATGGAACTAGCATGCACTTTTAGCTCTGGTATGTTGGGGCAGAAATGTACTAGTATCGAACAAGGAAGAGCCCGATTGGTGATGGCGACATAGCATACTTGTACAGCCGTTGTACGGTTGTAGGGTCTTCCTACCGCATGAGCGCTGTAGTAGGTGATGGTGAGAAGGGGGGGAAGGCGAGCAGAAGGGGCCGACGAATAGAATTATCTCTACATCAGCAACTGGTATTAGACACCACCTAAGTGTACCATTGAATGTATCCTTTGTTTCTTACTTCTCTGTGATACAACACATGCTAAAATGCTATTCAATTTGTCGTAAGTCTTTTAGAAGTGACATTAAGCTTACCTTCAGAGAAGAAAGACAAAGAGGATACATTCAATGGTACACTTGAGTGGTGTCTAGCAAAGCAACAGTCGCTGGGCAAATTCTATTCGTCATCCATTTCTGCTCTCCTACCACCCTCGCCATCAAAAATTCGTGCTCACCCTGTAAGAAGACCCCTTATGCTACATCTGCTGTACAAATACTACGGCTAAGTGGTCATTGCAGAGTATAAAAGGAGTCTAAAGGCGCACAGTTGTCCGTTGTCTCATAAGGCTGTATCCTCTGCATATTACTTCTCTGTGGCATACAATATCCCTGTAAAGGGACCTTTATACTTTTCTCTACTTCTTTAAAGAGGCTCACATTTACAATATTCTTTAACAACATTCGTGCTCTCTTATGCGTTTGGTTAGTTTAAGACTTGCAGTTGTATAAACATTTTGGTTAAAACCCACATTGATAGGTAAAATACTTTCAGCCTGTCTGAATAAAGATTAAATTAATGTTTCCTTGTATAGATGAATTATTCATGAGTGAAAATTTAAAAACATACGTTTTCATGTCCCTGGCCTTTTACTTCGTAGATACTGGATTTTTAGTTTATCATTATGTGTTTTAGTATTTTTTGGGACGGGGGCACATTTATTTGGTTTTAAATAGGTTCTAGGTATTTTTTTTTAAGTCTCAAAATTCACGACCATGACGTGTCCCTAGGGTACATTTTACAACTTTCACGCTGTTTTTAGACTAATTATTCATGCCGAAATATATAAAGCCATATTTTTATGTCATCAATGGTTATTAAACTTACAAAAAAGGTGCATATTATAATTTTATTGTCATTGCAAACTGACTACCATGACAAAATAAGTCTGTCCCTCGATTTGGCGTCACGACCATTTGGGAAAAATTTTCAACTTTGGAGCACGACAGTGGCAAGCCTGGCGTCGATGGAGTCAGTTGGTTTTAGAGACTAGTTCGAGGTGTACGTTAGGATTGTAGTGCCGGTCGTTTCGAGTTGAAAGGAGGAATTACAAGATTAATAAAGGAAAGATTGTGTTTTTTGTAATGTTGGTGTGTCCATGACCGTACGTAGTCATTCGATGAAGTAGACATGGTGTTAATTTTTGTTTATAAGATATTTCAATTGCTAGATTAACCTAGAAGGCCACTTTGTATCCTCGAAAATCAGGTGCAGGGCCACCGCCAGAACAGAGCCAAATAACACGTAATTTCACGACCATCGCAGGTTTTTTCACGACCAATCCAGCCTTATGTATTATAGTGTGTTTGGTCGTGACAATAACTTTAATATAATTGTAAATTGAACAGTTTAGTTCAATTGAAACACATATTTTTATTATAACTAACAGTAGAATTGAAGGAGATTTAGATGATTTCAGACAATTCACGACCGTACCGCTTGTCCCTGACCATCACGTTTATGATTTCTATCATAAAAATTTCAAAAATTAAAATATCGTCATATTTCAATGTTTTATACACAAAATAAGCACACCTCTATACAAACATACAGATTTTTCGGGTCTCAGGTAAGTTTTTTCGGAGTTACACAAACTTAAAAAAAATTTTATTAGCTTTTTTCAATTTTTTGAGTTTTTTTTTTTTTTCTAGAAAGACTAAATATACCAAAAGCTCAGTGACCTTTTTATTGTATAATGGTCATAAAAGTCAATTAGTTTATAGCAAAACATAGTTATAAAAATAATATTAACTATTTTTAATATTCATTTAAACGTCTGTTATGGTCGTGACAGGATTTTGTGTTTTTCCACTAAAGATGCTCTTTAAAAAAACACTACCAAAGATATTGCGTTACCATGGGCAATTTTATGAAACTTCAAATGTTAATGGAATAAAAAAAAAATAAAAGTTTTGAAAAAGGGGGAAAAATTTTGCAAAGTGCTTTTCATGAAAACGTACGTTTTTAAATTTTCACTCTATGGATCAACTAGTCATTTTGGTGGTATATTCCTACCCAGTACAGTATGTAAAGAGTGTGTTTAGTTGTTCATTTTTAACAACGTGTAGGGCCTACTAACCATCTTAGAAATAATGTTAGCTAAATATTATAATAAAGGTATATAAGAGTGTACACCCATACATGTGTACAATGTACAATGTTTATTGACTATTGGGGACCTTGCCCAAAGACTAAAGCAAATGTAAAATGTACCCAAAGGTAACATTAAAACATAACTTGTGACGACAGTTTGATCGTTTGACGGAGTGTGAACTCAATACCCACATTAGGCCTACACTCACAAAATAACCTTTGGATAAAAAAATGACGAGTAGTCTATTTGCAATATCCAAAGTCAATGATTTTACGGAAAAAATATCTCCCGATATATCGATATCGCCGACGAGTAGTTAAAGTGGTTGGCCACCTTGAGCGCTGCAATCGCTACAATCAGCTGATTCGGTTCCCGCGTTCCCGGCAGTGTGTCGTCTGCAGCAGCGGCGGTCAGTCAGCTGTTAGAACGACTTTGTATCTATACTGTATTAGTTTACGAACTGTCAAGTTGTTTTGTCTGTAATGTCTAACTCGTACAAATATCAACAGACGAGCGTGTACGGAGTGTGTGAAGAAGAAACGTCAAATTACAACGACTCTAAGTGCTTGTGTTTTTGGGATTTTCTGATTCCTTTCACCAGATTTTGGGGCGTCTTTACTTCCGTCGGTAAGTGAAGATTAAATTTACTTAGAAAAGATTGAAATCTGATTTCAGTGACATTTCGAGTGTTATGCAAGTTTGGAATATATTTTCCATTATTTCCACCAATTGCTGTAACCTAAAAACAAATTAACCCTTTGCGGTCTCAAAGCCATTTCGGAAAGTTCCTCTAAACTCGAATTACCAGCCCTGCTGGACACGGCTACGTTCTATAACATTTTTGTCATGCTTACACGGTGCCGTGCCTCACATGTCGTACGACCAGCACTGCTGGCCACTACTAATTTCCCCGTCAGCTCGTCCGGCCATTAAAGGTGGCCATCCAACCCTTTTTTTACATTGTTTTGTAATTCTCCCGTAGGTTGCAGCACTAAACAGAGATAGTACCTCGATTCACAGAATCACAGAATAATAACATTTTATAGTTCGGCCGCTTAGAAAGCGACCTCCTCCAGCATTGGTTTAGCATTAGCGCGCAGGTCGTTTTCTAAGCGGCCGAACTTTAGTTTGTATGTCTACGGTTTCCAGCTCTGTGTTACGCCACTTTCACTGTAAAATAACCTCAACTGTCAGTAGTCAGTGTGTTGTTGTCATGTAAAACCGTGATGTGAGGCTACATACTAGGATAAAATATTATTTATTGTGTAACTGTAGAATGACTGGGACAGGTTTTTGGATTAATCTGTTGATATAAGAAATGAACTAGTTCAAGGCCTTGTTTCAAGGGAAACGGGAATATTGTACGTCGTTTCCATAGCAACATTAATACTTTTGACGATTTTTAAAATTCAATAATTTATTATGTATGAACTTGTACTATAACCTTTAATTTTAATTGAATTTCTTATTTCATTAGCTTTCAATAAAATACAATAAGATTGGACTTATTTTTAGTTTCAATGTGTAAAACATTAGCCCTTACTATAAATGACAGAAACAAAATTCTTGATAAAAGCTAGTGTAGCTGGGTTGGCAGAGTGGTGACCAACCTAACCTAGAACCAAAATGGCCAGCAGTGCTGGCCCTGGCCGTACGACCTGAGAGGCACGGCGCTGCGTGAACAATGACAAGCTGGCTCAGAAACTGCTGTGCATTCGAGGGCAAAGAGTTTTAATTAGGAACTAATTCTTATAAACTGGAATATCTTACTTTAATATGAATGTAATATAGGGAAGATGGATTTATTTTTTTATTCTTGGTTTACATTTTTTTAAATGACAGCTTCATTTATTTCATTTTTATTTTAAGGTCAATTAAAAAATATCTTCAAATTGATACACTTTAATGTTATACAGGCCCTACCTACTAGAGATGATTCGTAGATTTCGTAATAATAATTTTAAAAACTGAATCAAATCATGTTTGTTAGCACAAGTACAGAGTTTACAGCTAAATGTACGGTTGCTTCGTTATTTGTATTATAACATTTATACGCCCCTTTTTAAAACTAAGCATAAACGGTCTTTTAAGTAGCCTATATAGTAATCATAGCCAAAAAATTGTATACAATTAAGAAACATATTACATATCCTTCTAACACTGTTAAACAAGTTTAATAAATATACTGTCAAGTTTAAAACTTAATTACAGGATTTATATAATTTTATGACATATGTGTATTTACTGCGTTTAAAGCATACTGTGTTTTGGCATTCATCAAAAAAACATTAATTTAATGTCCATTATAAATAAAATAAAATAACAGTTAAGACATACATTTAACCTATTCCTTGTGTTGGTTAGTCTATGGTTAAACATTAACCTAAAGGAATAACCAAGTAACTTTAACCGTTAAAGTTGCTGTAAAAATAAAGAGTGTGCATGGATAATTATCTAAATTTATAATCGCGGCTAAAACAATAAAACTACTAATTCATTGATTAAGAATTAGTACAAGTAAAACAGTAGTTTGAAGGAGGAGTTTGCACTTCTATTAATTGTTATACAGTGTCAGAATTTAGATGTATTTGTATTGTTTTCGTTTTCACACAAATTTAAAATAATCTGTTTGTAAACTGTATAGTGAAATACTTTTCATCCAAACTAAACTGTTAATAGGGGTTTTTACTGAACTATTTACTCAACCGGAAAATGTAGTTTATTGGATAACTGAATTGGAAAACAATCGTTTGTTCGTTGGACATCGATAAATTGCTAATTCAATTCCCATTCTGTTTACGTTCACAGAGCACAAAATAACGTTTGTGTTAGTTAATCTTTAGGCGAGAGAGTTAACTGGTAGGGCTGCATGTTTCTTTACTTTCCGGGTATTGAATATTAAGTATACTCACTAGTAAGAAATTCATGGTATATTTAATTATATTATAAAGAATGCCAAAGGTTTGATTAAAATAAGCTACGACTTTTACCGTCTTAGACAAGTTAGCTACATAAAAAACAGTTATATATCAGCTCTGATTGTAGAACACACGCGGTTTCTATAATCAATGGACGAATGGAGATGATCCGTGTGTATTTTTATTTTTAACTAAAATTGGCTCTCCTTATTTGCCTTGTAATAAACGGCAAAAAAAAAAACGGTTGGTAAAAAAAACCAACTGATTAGATCAGCTGTTTGTTTTGCCATCAGCTGTTTTTTTTTACCATCAGCTGTTTTTTTTTTACCATAGCCGTTTATTACAAGCCCAATAAGGAGAGCCTTGTCCATTGTTGAACAATCAAAAACCCTATTATTATACTAAGAATTTTAAATTTGTTGCAATCTATTATTGTTTCTTTTCGCGCTACTTGAGATATTTCAGCTGATCATTTTACTCTTTTTTAAAACAGTGACGCATGCATCAGACAATAAATATACCGCTTTCACTTAAAAGCTCCTAATGGCGTTATCAGAACAAGTGCTTGCTAATTTTATTTTCTAGTGATATGGGGTAAGCAATATTTACTGTGAAGATACAATCACATACCACAGTAGGCCTATTATGTAGAGAAGGATATGGTAAAAATCACGTATATAGAATCTCATTTCTCGTGCAGCCCATTCCAAGTATCAAAGGTGGTGCACTAAAAACCACTTAAACCCTAAAAGAAAGCCAAAAAGCAATGAGTGTGGTCTTAATTTTGACTGCATAAACTATCAGAATTCTTTACCAATAAAGAAACATAGTTTCATTACTAAATATATCCAAACGCCTATATAATAAACAATATTCAATCAATTTGGAGTGGTTCGGATATAGTTTGCTCTTCAAAATTTTATTCTCAAGTTTAATTTATATTATTTGTTGATAACTCATAAGACATTTGAGGTAAAAAAACTATAAACACCTACAACAATACATTTTATTCTTGGAAATTCTCATAAAAAGGACATAGTGAAAAAGAGGATACCTTACACTTAGTTTCGCTACCAGGCAAGCTCCAAGGCGAGATACCATTTTTTCAAACTTGGAAAATAAATAACGAAACTATGACAATTCCAACGACACAAAATCGTTTCAAATTAAGATTTGTTTCCAAAGAACACAAGCGCAAGATGGGCGTTTCTGTTTACGTTGAGATATTTCTGGATCAGCTGGTGGGCTAGTCTGGTGATGGCGATGACCCAAAGTCTGTGACGTCATTGCGGTGAACAAATACATCAGCTGATTGGATGCTAACTACTCTCATTGTAAACAGATATCTCACCTCACTAACTAATAGTAAACATCAGCTTACACCTTACAACTAATGATTAAGAGGAAAGAGTTTGAGGACATGCAATCCTCAAAATATGAAGTCGTAATTATACATTTTATTAACATTTCAATGGTCAATAAACTGAAAGGTTAACAAAATGCAATAAAAGTACATTTTTAATTTTACCATAAACAGTCGCAGTAATAGCAAGACTCTAAGTATACAGTAGAAACTCGATAACACGACTCTCAAGGGGATTATTAAATAAGACTTGTTATCAAGGTTGACTTCCTATTGAGGTTTGCAACAACATGTGATAAGGGCTAAAATAAAATTCAAGGGGATTAGAAAATGACACTTGTTAAAAAGGGTGACTTGTTATCAAGGTTCCACTGTAATTACACATAGACTTTAGCACCGTTGCTAATATAACCAAAGAATAACAGTTTTAAGCATATATCACGTTTCTAGAATAAATATTTAAAAAAACATATAGCCTTCGTCTTCAGTTTATTTTTATATTTTTGTTCTAAATGTATGCACAACAAATATGTCTAGAGGCTGTGAATCCACTACTTTAACTGATCGTAAATAATATGAAAATACTAACAAAACAGGTAATGAATGTGAATGGTAAAATAGCAAAAGCTCTTCAAAACGTTTGGCCTGGTCATAATGAAGGTCCTATATAAACTAATAGAGAAGTAGTGTGTAGAAAGAAAATGTCAATTGTGTTCTAGGAGTAAGATGAAATTATTATAGTAATTTTGATGTGACGTTCAAACGAAAAAGATTGATAAATATCCACTTGGGTGTCTAAATTCACAATAAAAAACTTTAAAAGCGTAAGAAGTGCATTCATGTATTTATAGTACCTACATTGAATCCCAAACAATAAATACATACAAAATAAAACCGCGTAGAGAGAAAACAAACATTTGTGAGCAAGCTTGAGGATTTATTTCCCAATAATTCTTGGGACAAAACTACACATTCTATTAGACCTACAACTCTAACCTATACTCCCTAAATTGTGTAAACTGGTGAAAAACTCCACAAGGGACTAAAATGGTCAGTAAAACAAAGGTAAAACAAAATCTCCAGCTGTAAGACAAGACTTAAAGCTCGCCAGTTAATTGGTCTTAAACTACAAGCAGTTCTTCCTGTAGCTGCATCAGTTTTCTTCGTCATGAAACACTTGAACGATTGCTTATAACACCGACAGTTAAAATTCTTAAGAACAGTAAAACTGAAATGCTATTCTTTGGAAAATGTAGCATTGCTTTTAAAAACAATCAATTTTGATTGAGGATGGAATAAGGGAAAGATTAAACTATTTTAGCATAAGAAATAATCTAAACCATCCC